GGGGAACCTAGCCCTTTGTATTGTGTATTAGTTTCATGGGGCAAACTCGCGACGGTCGTCTATCAAGCAGCAAGTGACTGTAAACTAGTGCAAAACGATCTGCAGGAAACAGACCACTCCACATCAAGACTTCACTGGAATGCCATGTCGCCATGTATGTATGTGCGCGCACATGCACTGTTCGATAGCTGTGCAATGTACATGACTGAGTCTGTAGACTCTGTACATAATTTCATTGTACAAGTGCGTCTGGCTGCGCGCTGTCGGAATATCTGCAACCGCAGAACTAAACAAGCGCATGTCGGGTTCAGGCTAATGTGCGACTGTGAGCTATGGGTAGACCAGGATTACATGTATGACGGCATACATGTACATGTATGTCGCATCCGTTTCAATCCAGCCCTCATCAGGGCAGTGTGCCTTGCACACAGTCACAGCACCAGCAGGGGAGAGGCTTGTTTATCGTTTAGGTGACGCCAGTTCAAGAGCTTTTCCCACTGACGTCGCCTCATTAGTAGAGTCATTACCACTAGTATCAAGAGTACATAACCCTGAGCACTCAAGCTTAAAGGTAGGCCTGTGGAGAATTCACATACATGTACATGTAGTGATGTACATGTAAATACGATATATTACTCAAAGTGTATTCCAGCGCTGATGCTACACTGTATCTCCTCAAGCTTCGTGGCTTTAGCACTGCTCTAGTCTACATAACAGTTACGCGGCTATAATTGTTATAACTAGCGAATAACATTATTATGTTTTATCGTCTGACGAGTGTACTTGGCAGTTCAGCATACATGTATGAATTACGTATCACGAAATGTACTTTTATTCATATATATAATTATATAAAATACTACATTCTTACATGTACATGTACATGTAACCTCTTGAGTTGTAGTTGTGGTGTGCCGTGTACTTCGGAAGTTGGGAGTATGATGATTGCATTGATTACCTGCTAATATTACATTCAGTATAATTATGGACAATCTACGTGTACATGTGTTTAGAACTTCGTCCGTGCATTTCCCTTTGAAAGCGTTTCAGAATGCGTGGGTTCAATACTAGCAATCTACATTATGCAAGGGCAGGTCTTGCAGCCATCTACTACGCAACTGAAGGCCAACGTAAAGTAGGGTGGTTCCAGTACGAGATGGGATGTGTGAAAGTCGCATGCACCGGATCCGCGGATATCCGGATGCAAAGGTGATCATGAGCACAGACATGACAGTACATTGTAGAACGTGCAGAATGTTCAGCCACGGGCAACATGTTTTTTCTGTTCTTGTCTTCTTGCGCACAGGATTAACGATTGGCACTAACGGCACCAACGCAGACGCCTTGCAGCAGCATGGCTGGCTGAGTGTTGCAGGTTTTCGTGGATTGCATGCCGATCTATGCTTGCGCTCGACATACATGTACATGACACACAATACCGGTACATGTACATGACTTTGTAGTCATTTGAACTCTGCAAACCATCAGTGTCGCGACGACGCGCCCCAGGAGAGTCTTGACATGCCCTTTCACTCAGTGTCTGGCTGCAAACGAAGCATTCAAACGCCTTCTACGGCGTGAACAAAACATCTATCAAGTATCATGCGATATAAAGGTGCAATGCGATCGTGGATGGTCTGGGCATGATGTACATTGTACATGTACATGTATTGGAATGTGCTCGTATTAACATGTACATGTACCGGTGCACAAGGCAGAACAACAGAGACCAAAAATCTTTCTCGTTACTCCGAGTTTCGAAATAATAATGTAAACAGCTCAGCTGACAGCTACAGATGACACACTGCTAGGGAGAGGACGCTTCAATGACATCATGGATATCGGCGCGAAATAATTAATTTTTACGGTAACTGTCATGTACATGTACTTGGGTACTTGCGAAGTTGCGAGGTCCACTTTAGCTTTGGCAGTTTGGGAGTGAAATGAGGTCATCAATGTACAGCGCGAACTCATCTACATGACATTGTACATGTTCTGTACATGTATCTAGGGATGACGCGACAAACGAAACTGCGCAGGAGTAGAGAGATTTTAAGGGGGGGGGGGGGGCAGGAGTAGAGAGATTTTAAGGGGGGGGGGGGGGATTTTTATGTTTTTTAATTTCGGCCAGTCGGCTACTATCATTAATTTCGTCTTGGGGGCTAGACAAGAGGAAGTAGCCACGTACAGTACATGATGTAAGGGCGTAAACCCTAGGCGTATGCGGATAATGCCGGCAGAAAAATGGCAGAACTCGGTACTTTTTCTGGTAAGTTTCATGCATGTTTGGTATGTGGATAAAGAAATGGAGCAGAGTCCGAGGAATTGCCCGTCATAAGGTTTGTATAATAATAATTTGAACAGGTCGCATATTGCCCGCATTATTATTATTATTATTAAACTCAATCTCGTAGCATGTGCACGCATCGCTAATGTGGGGAGCAACCCCAGAGATGAGGGCGATAACCAGCCATGGTAAAAGTACAAAAGAAAACAAGAAAACAGTGGAAAGAAAGGAACAGGGAGGAAAACAAAGCTCAGCCAAGAAAGGAACAGGGAGGAAAACAAAGCTCAGCCAAGAAAGGAACAGGGAGGAAAACAAAGCTCAGCCAAGAAAGGAACAGGGAGGAAAACAAAGCTCAGCCAAGAAAGGAACAGGGAGGAAAACAAAGCTCAGCCAAGAAAGGAACAGGGAGGAAAACAAAGCTCAGCCAAGAAAGGAACAGGGAGGAAAACAAAGCTCAACCAAGAAAGGAACAGGGAGGAAAACAAAGCTCAGCCAAGAAAGGAACAGGGAGGAAAACAAAGCTCAGCCAAGAAAGGAACAGGGAGGAAAACAAAGCTCAGCCAAGAAAGGAACAGGGAGGAAAACAAAGCTCAGCCAAGAAAGGAACAGGGAGGAAAACAAAGCTCAGCCAAGAAAGGAACAGGGAGGAAAACAAAGCTCAGCCAAGAAAGGAACAGGGAGGAAAACAAAGCTCAGCCAAGAAAGGAACAGGGAGGAAAACAAAGCTCAGCCAAGAAAGGAACAGGGAGGAAAACAAAGCTCAGCCAAGAAAGGAACAGGGAGGAAAACAAAGCTCAACCAAGAAAGGAATAGGGAGGAAAACAAAGCTCAGCCAAGAAAGGAACAGGGAGGAAAACAAAGCTCAGCCAAGAAAGGAACAGGGAGGAAAACAAAGCTCAGCCAAGAAAGGAACAGGGAGGAAAACAAAGCTCAGCCAAGAAAGGAACAGGGAGGAAAACAAAGCTCGGCCAAGAAAGGAACAGGGAGGAAAACAAAGCTCAGCCAAGAAAGGAACAGGGAGGAAAACAAAGCTCAGCCAAGAAAGGAACAGGGAGGAAAACAAAGCTCAGCCAAGAAAGGAACAGGGAGGAAAACAAAGCTCAGCCAAGAAAGGAACAGGGAGGAAAACAAAGCTCAGCCAAGAAAGGAACAGGGAGGAAAACAAAGCTCAGCCAAGAAAGGAACAGGGAGGAAAACAAAGCTCAGCCAAGAAAGGAACAGGGAGGAAAACAAAGCTCAACCAAGAAAGGAACAGGGAGGAAAACAAAGCTCAGCCAAGAAAGGAACAGGGAGGAAAACAAAGCTCAGCCAAGAAAGGAACAGGGAGGAAAACAAAGCTCAGCCAAGAAAGGAACAGGGAGGAAAACAAAGCTCAGCCAAGAAAGGAACAGGGAGGAAAACAAAGCTCGGCCAAGAAAGGAACAGGGAGGAAAACAAAGCTCAGCCAAGAAAGGAACAGGGAGGAAAACAAAGCTCAGCCAAGAAAGGAACAGGGAGGAAAACAAAGCTCAGCCAAGAAAGGAACAGGGAGGAAAACAAAGCTCAGCCAATTAAGTGAGATAGCCGGAAATTACATTGTTTAGCTAAACACGCGTGAGTGCTGCAGGAAAACGCAACTCAGTACAAACAACTTGGCGAAACTGAGACATGCTGTGGCAGTGGTGGGCGAGGCTTGATAGCTTGAGCCAGTCAGAATAGGAATGAAACAAAGGGGATTTTGTAAACTGAACAGTGCGAGCTGCAGGTAGCGAGACTTGTGCCCTGGTTGAACGGCTCCGCATAAACAAATCATACGGGGGTCATGCATCTGTCAATGATCGTTAACCAGAGTTGCTTGTTGGCCTCTTACAAGGCATTGCAGCTAGCTGCCCTCAATACTTCGGACATCAAGCGCCCCCGTGGACGACCTCACAAGACATAGGTCGACAACATCAAAGAAGACCTCAAGTCTCTGAAAGGGCCGATTCAGGAATGCCTCAACCTCGCCACCAACAAGCAACTCTGGTTAAGGTTTGTATGGTTCTGCCAATTTCCCTGCTTTTCGAGCAGAATCTGCCACCTTTTCGAGCATTATCCGCCAATGCCTAGCCACTGAGCCCGCCTTTCGGCACCGGGATGTGGGATGCACTAAGCATTTGATGCAACCGTTCAAAACATTTTCTAAATACATGCATTGTGTCATAGTGGAGATAGGCCCCACACTGAGCGAGTCTAGCCATGCAGTGGAGACCAGACATGCAGTGGAGACCAGAGCCCGCAGGAGCTTGATATCATTGATATCATTATGATTGCACAGTGTAGGTTCTGGTGCCTGTTGCTGGCTGAGCGTGAAGCTCCGAGATGTCAAGAATGTATCATTCCTTGCCTAGTCCTAGATAGAGTGACAGTTGGTGCCAGGTCACCTACATGTACATGTACATGTAAATCAGAGTAAATCAGAGAAAATCAGAGAAAATCAGAGAAAATCAGAGAAAATCAGAGAAAATCAGAGAAAATCAGAGAAAATCAGAGAAAATCAGAGAAAATCAGAGAAAATCAGAGAAAATCAGAGTAATTCAGAGTAAATCAGAGTGGTTCTTTCGACTGGCTTGAAACACAGTGTACACATTGTACAATGTCTAGACCGGACGTTTTAAAAGGTATCCAAGAAGTAGGCATCCAGCCGGATTTGGTCTTACTCGCAGCAGCTGGAGCAGCACTTGTAAACACTGCGACAATAAGGAGTAGTGAGTCGACGGCACTGGCGGAGCTGTTATAAATAATACTAAAGTCTAAACAATCAACCATCTATAGATAGTGGTCTGGCTCGGTTCATCCACCCACCTACAATACATGTAGATGTACAATGTAGATTGTACATGTACTTTGTAAATGTCCAAATACATGCACTAGTATTGAGTAATGATCAGGCCGTCCTGAGGCTGAATGCTAGTCGAATCCTGCATGCTGCTCTGGCCACCATGGTCATGAATGCGGGCACGCATGGGACCGGGAATGAGTGATACTGGAGTGGAAGTCTGAATGCTGATGACTAGGCAAGGAGTCAAACACAATGCAAACACCGTTAGTTTAACGCGTTGAGGACTCAGACAACAGTCACTGGTGAAAGTAGCCTTGGGCAAAGGACACCAGGGCGCCGGGCCCAGCGCTTGGATGACGGACTTTCAACGGAGCCTTTCGCCACAACCAAAACCTATACTTCTCGCTTGAACAACAACGTACATTGTACATTGTGCATGATTGTATGCGTGTGAGGTGACCTTGACTTGTATCGGCACTTGGACCTAACGCAATTTTGTGACGTTGTGAATGCACTCATAGCCATGTCCATGGTGCTTTGTCGTTCTGAAAGACAAGGCGATGTTCCCATGACGAAAGATGGAGGGCAAGACCTCAAGATATTGAACATAGCAATCACAGCGAGTGGTAGTGTTGGCCAACGGACGGTACATATACATGTACATCTTTGTGGAACTAATTAACCCGTTGGATCATACCCTATACCAGTGGATGCACATGTACATGATTGTACATATAATACGTCTGTGCCTGGAACGCTAGTACAGTAGCAGCTCTGTGGCGAGTGTTGTCCCAACCGGCCTGTGCTCTGTGGGGTAGCCGTTGCACATGTTCATATGGGATTAGATTAAGTTGCCAGGACGCTGCTGTCTCACGCAGCACTCACTTGAATCTGGTGTTGATGCTGCGAACACGGTTCCAGATCCCCAGGTCTCAATCATCTCTGGTCTGGGCGCACACGGACTTTTCAGTATTGGTGTAGGCGACTTGCTTGAATTATGGCGACCACGCAAGTGTCTGCACACATAAAAACACACACACATTACACATTACACAATGTACAGTGTACCGTGTACCAGGCCACGAGAACCAGACAATACGTGCAACCATACATTGCGAACGTATTCAACATGATCCCCCGGGACAGAAGAAGTCACTTCGCTGTGTATGAGCACTACCCGTACGGCCATAGTACTTAGTAGTAGTGATGACTGATGAGGCTCCTGCTGCCAATCCGGAATTCGCGTGATGACAATCATGTCCGGCCCGCTGTATACTGCTGTGTGTACGCACCACAGACTTACGGGGCACTATCCTGTACAGTCATGTACTACAAGACTGTAATATCCACGACCAAAGGCGAGAAGCTAGCCTACAAGTACAACAGGACAAGCACAATGCACATGTACATAATAATGCACATGTGATGCATGATAGCGATCAGCACCTGACTGAGAGCGGGGGTATAAAAGCAACGCGGCTGTCACTAGCCACTCAAAACAGTTCATTCGTTACCTAGAAGTAGAAGTTTTCGTCCGTGGAGCTTTTGTTTATTTGGAAGTACGCGTTCGTCGCTAAGGTTCTCGTGCACATCATCGCCCCCCGCTGAGCTTCGAAGCCAGTATATAATTGGAGCTGTTCCCCGTCAGTACAGTCACATCACGACCAAGCTCACTTCGTTTCTTCTTCGACATCTCTCAGTCATGGTAAGAGTCGTTGAAGTATCGGTGGGATACTGTTTGGCCTCATGGCGACATGGGGGATGCACTGTGTTGCATCCGAATTCGTCGCTCGTAGTGTGTCCGTGGGTAGGACATTGTGAAACGATTGCGAAGTACTTTTGTCTTGCATAGCAGTCCTCTTTTGGACTCGGGGTGCTCTCGCTGTACTGCTGTGTCGGCGATGGTCCCTCTTTCTAATTGTATCATGGTTCATACGTCCATTGCTGAACTGTTTTGTTTATTATACTTCGTAGGAGATGGACACTAGATCGATCAGCAGCGACAGCTCCACAAGCAGCCGGCATCTGGAGTCCTACTGGGGACTTATGACAAGGTAAGAGATGGTTTAGCCTTGGCAAGGTAACGTAGATCTTCACAATGTGTGTTCGTGTGTGTATGTTGAGAGAGGGGGGGGGGGGGGGGAGTATTCTGGTGTACACATGTACATGTATGGGTGTGAATTCCCATTATCAGGCCCTTCTTTCCTAACGCCTTACGGGGAATACTCATACCAAGTTTGAAAAGTACCAGCTGGAGGCTAATCTCAGGGCGCCATGGGCGATAGCAGTAGATAATGGTAGAGGAAGATAACAGTGGGAGATGATAGAGACTGGATGCATACAATGTAGACTCTCGTTCCTGCCTGCGTAGGTTGTACATACATGTAGCTGTTCAGGACACGAATTCAGCCTGCTCCTGTGGAGGAGGAAAACACTACAGTATGAAAGGCTGAATGGGGAAGCTGCCACCAGGAATGCCGTGCTGAGTGGCTTCACTTCGACACAGAGCGCGTCGCCTGTCAATGTCCAAGCTGTCTCCAACCTTTAGAAGGGTACTTCAATGAGCTTGACGCTGCTTGAGAGATCGATATGAGGCTAGATTGGAAGATTATAGAGATAGAGGGAGAGCGTGTGTGGCATCAAGGGCCTTCACCCGTGACCCGAGTGGCTGTACACAGGGCCAGGGAATGATAGACGATTGCGCACACCCTGTTGTAGTAAACCAGTGGCCTGCGATTTCAGATTCCGGGGCCTTGTTCGGGACCAGTCAGTCACGCTGGTAACAGCGCTTAGACGTAGAGACGCCATTCCCTAAGCTCCCCACTTACACGCCCTGGCCTGAGCAACCTTGGGACGGAATGTCCGGGACAACCTGGTAACAGCATACAGGTATTGCCTCAGAACTAGCGTGCATTCCAAGAAAGCAATGAGTTATGGCTTGGATTATTAGTTGAAGTGCCCGTGTCCTATCTATTAGTATCAGGGTGATGCTGAAGTCTCATGGCATGCAAGAATACGCACATACATGTATTGTAAGCACACAGTCATGTTACAGGATGAAGCCCATAATCAGAGCCTATAATGGGTGTTAAATTAATCCCATATGCACAGGTTGATCCATGGTTTCAGCGGACGTTACTTGTAATGCACCTTACATGTTCTGATGTACATGTACATGATTGCAGTGAAAATCCGAACACTACTACTAGCATTGTTCCAGTAGCTGGTGCACGAGCACGAGAGTAGAATTTAGGCAAGCACCCGCCTTTCTGTTACTAGTATGTGCTGCCACCATCAGGATAATAATGACATTAGTCAGGCATGGAACCGGCGCACGCAGGGTCAATATAATAATATTATTAAACACAGCAATGTCCCTCAAGATGTCACTGCTGGATTTACATGTAGGTCAAATCACCACCTGAGGTGATGCAATTTATATTGCTGTAATTACATAACGTCGTTCACCTGTGCCCCCTTCACACTATCTCGGAACCCTGCGCCCATCAATAGCATATCGGTTTTAACTTAAACCTTGTTTATCGCCGGTCGTTTCAGAGAAGGGTCTCACCCCAATGCACTACCGGATGAATGCACGCATCAAAACAAACTACTCCTAATCGAATCCACTCGCGACCTGTCCTGCAACTATCTGACCGTATTTGGGGAAACGGTCGCTCTATGCGGACCGATTTGTCACCGGAAGCTCTGGCCTAGCTAGAACTTAAGTACATTACTATCCTCTGCCATGATCCCAGATATCATTTCCCAAGAAATACTAGTAACAGTAGGATACTGGATATCACTGCACCTGAATACTAGTATCATCAGTGTCACTGTTTGCTTCGCCTGGTTGTGAAACATTTTAATGATCTGTAGCGCGTGACAGTCATGCGCTGCTCCAAAAATGTTGGCACGGAACGCGGTGCAAACAGTAATGCAGGCAAGGCAGTCTGATGGGGGTACTGTTGTTGGGCGGGTTTCAATTTCCCACCGCCTCAGCCCTGGCTGGCATTTTCCAGCGGAATTGTCATGCGTAGCGTGTATTAACACAACGCCGCTGCTGATGGACTGTAGAATCACGTTCGTGTTGTGTTGTGTTGATGTTGCAAGTAGCTTCCAGGTCCACAGTAGGGGGCAGACCTCTTTAAAAGTGCAGGGCAAATTATTCCCACATACAGAACACGTACATGTACACGTAGCAATTCATTTCTAGCCATCATCGCACTTTCATTTTAGACTTTCCCTGAAGGCGTCTGCCTTGTACATGTGCTGCAATGAAACATTTTGGAAATGCACCATGTATTGTGACTCTAGTGAGTAAACCTAGAGTTCGCACGTTCGCGTTACAACCGGCTATGCAATTGTGCTGGCCGCTACTGCTTTCGGACAATCAGCCAGGAACATTTCCAATCTGTGTACAGTCCCACGAGCGCATCAATGGCAATTGTGAAATAAATTAGTAGAGGTGGGTCTGCAGACAGTATCGCCAAACACTGGGGAACAACTGACAATGCCACCACACTTCAACGTGCTTTGGTGGACACCACTTCCTACACTAGTTTTGAAGAAACGTGCAAAGGCCTGGGTAAAAGGTCGTACGATGTGTGTGCGCATGAAACGGAGTGGGGATGTCTTTACTTCATGGGCACTTTCATCAAGAATAACGCGCACTTCAAACTAGCTGTCACAATAATAAAGACGTCGTGGTTTGGTTGTTTATTGGAATGGTGCCCTTTATTGGCATGTAGTCACGTATTAAGTATATAAACCACATGTAATACAAAAATCGCTCTGTATTGGAACACTGACCATATACATGTACATGTACATTGCACCTACATGTACATGATGAATGTATTTCATTTCTTGTGTCTATATTCCACTCTGTCTTTCTTACAGGGATCATGAAGTAGCTATTCTGAGCGAATGTCAGGACGGATCATACCTGTTCAGGGATTGTATCAGCGAGCCAGCACTGATCACGTTGAGTGTGAGGTGAGTGCTAGTACATATACTAGTAGTATGTGCACTGAGTCATGTGCAATACAATACAATACAATGTGCATTGTACAGCTCCGCATGTTCATTGCAGCCCGCTTGCCTAGTTTTTAAAAGAGGTGTGTTGTGACCACTTCGAGTGAGTGGCTGCATAATATGAGTGGACTGCCACGGGAATGCCAGGGGGGGGGGGGGTAGTAGCTGTGAGTTGGAGATTAGGCAACAGAGCTTAGCCCTCATCCTTGGTCTTATTCAAATGCAAATGGTGGTCATTGCAACAGAACAACGACATGATTGTACTAGTACTTGCAAGTACTAGTATTCACCTCTCAATCAATGCTATTGGCAATCCACGAAAACCTTTGTTGCCTCACCCATGGATACGCGTTGAGATTGGTGTGCAGGAAAGCTGTGTGAGGAGTCTGAGGACAATAGAAATTCAAAAGCCTGCCTACTTGCACGCATAACCTTCATGGCCCCACAGCACAGGACTGCTTTCAATATTTCAAATTTAGTCTTGAGGCATTTCGACTTTGAGTACCACCTAGTGCAGTGCATTTTTTAAACCGAAGGCCTGGATGTGGATGGCATTCAGCACCTGAGACATTAGTGGGCCATTTGTCGGTTGCATGTCTGCTCCAACAAGTTGCTATTTCCTCTCCTTTGTTGTGTCTCACAGAACTGGTGACACGGTATGCAGGTATCGCATCACCGAGGAGCTCGTGATGGGTATTGCAGAGTCCAGCATGTCGTGCACCGACGAGTACGGAAACCAAGTCAACCTGAAACATGCCGTCACCAGACCCAAGGTATGAAGCTAGCTAGCTACGCTTCCGGCTTAGATCATCACGTGGTCAAGTCTGAAGCTCTTTCCCATGAACATCTGGGTCTTATTTTGCACATGCCTTCATTAATTTTAGAGGGGGGGGGACCTTCCAAGCTTCAAGTACTTCTACTTCTACTTCTAGTCAGTCTCATAGGATTCCCCACATGCTGATGGTCACTTTGCTGACGTCAATGCCCCTCATTATGCAGCAGAGGTTTATGCCACAAGCGTGCAGTTAGTTTATTAGATACTAGTACTGAGTATAGCCGTGCATCTAAATGTAAACAGAAATACCGGTACAGGTACATGTACATGTACAAGTCCCCACCCAAGGCTCCAGAATCGTGTTGCAGCGCTTGCTTGCCATCTCCAGTTTTCCGCGTGCTTTCTAGATTTCATGTACATGGCTTTCCAGATCATAATATATAATTATTATTATTATTCAGCTGTCAGACTGCTTCCATGGACTTGTTGGAGGGTTTGGCCCGGGTATATGCTGTATTTGCTTGTGGATATCATTCTACGTTCTCATACTCCTTGGTGTTCTCTTGTACTTGACGTCTTGCGACAGGGCATCGAACCTCTTGGCACTGACAAGTCTTCCGCAGTTTACGACGCGCCGTCATAATCGATACAGTACCAGAGGAAGACAAGAGAGAGAGAGAATGGGAACCAATTCCAAGTGTTGATTGTCATGCCGCCACCCTATCCTATCTCTGTAGACGTTGCTGGCTATGCGGCGCACATCTTCATAGCTTCCACCCCAAGCAATATTATGCTCACTTCGCGTACTAGCATCGTCAATCGGATACCGTGCATGCCCGGATTGTGCCGATCTCATACTCAATGCATGCAGTGCTGTCGCTTTTGACGTTTCTACAATTTTGAGGCAACTATTTTATTATACAGATTACCATAGTTTTACAGTTTCCGAGCTATTCGGTGGCGCTTGAAATCACGTTGATTACTCACAAGAATAATTATCTTTATACTTCGATATACGAAGTTCTTGCTGATGGTGTGATCAGCAGTTTTGTTGTCCGTGATATTGTACACATTGTGTTTGAAACGAAAGTCATGGATACTGAAATCAACTTGTGGTCTTTTTGATCAACTGCTGAACGGGTGTGTAGTGTTGTGAGTATCAGGTGTGTGGTGTTGTGAATATCAGGTGACTGTGAAAAGCGTCTACGCTGGCAGTCTACAAGTCATGCAAAGATTTTTAAAAGTCTACAGGTGCACACTCAGTATGACACACATGCACAATCATACAGTCTTTCTCGATGCAATCCGATCTCGTGAGTCCAGTCTGAACCATGAATGATTGTTGCCAGCAGGAGGGAGTCGTAAAACACCATTTTAAGTAATATTTTTACGACTCGCTGCTTGGCAGGTTTGGCTGGCCTGTGCATGTACTTTAAAAACTGACCTCCAGTATCGACTATCGGCTTTCATTGAGCAGCATTACTTAGCACACAGGGATCCCACAGATACATGTCCATTATGGAATGGGGGTAGGGGTATTGGATATAGATATTATATGTATTTTCGATATCGCTTTTATCGGTCTATATCTCATTCTCTCTCTCTCTCTCCCTCTCTCTCTCTCTCTCTCTCTCTCTCTCTCTCTCTCTCTCTCTCTCTCTCTCTCTCTCTCTCTCTCTCTCTCTCTCTCTCTCTCTCTCTCTCTCTCTCTCTCTCTCTCTCTCTCTCTCTCTCTCTCTCTCTCTCTCTCTCTTTCTCTCTCTCTCTATCTATCTATCTATCTATCTACATGTATCTCTCTATCTCCCTCTCTCTATCTCTCTCTCTCTCTCGCTCTCTCTCTCTCTCTCCCTCTCTCTCTTTCTCTCTCTCTCTCTCTCTCTCTCTCTCTCTCTCTCTCTCTCTCTCTCTCTCTCTCTCTCTCTCTCTCTCTCCCTCTCTCCCCCCTCTCTCTCTCTCTCTCTAACACATCTCCGAAGCGCTAACCAACAGTGGTGGACAGTCACTCTCGTATCCATTTTATGCCCCTTTCCTTTCTACATTAAAGTTTGTTGTTGGCTCAACACCCTAGTCACTAAGTTGTTCGTTGTGAATTCCAGGGCACATTCGCGATTCCACAAAGAATTAGTACTCATGTATTTCCAACAGCCGCTACTCATTGCTCCACTATCAATACATCGCGAGTGGAATCACAACTACTCTTCGAGCGACTGGACACACTCTCAGTGTTTTAAAAATGTACTTCGAAGTACATGTACATGTACACACAATGTATTCCCCACTCTCCACCTACCATTATTATTACATGTACACGTACACTGTACAGGACATGCAAAGTCATGTATGTACCTGTACATACTTGTAGCTCTCTACAACTTACAAGAAACGCCCTTGCTTCACTCTTCTCCCCATCACCACCACACCTCTCATAGCTGGCGCCGATAGGGTGGAAGGTGTCGCCAAAATGTAATGATTATAGTAATGAAGGCTATTATCTTCTGCCGTTCTGGGCATTCTGGCCTGCAGCACGGTATTACTATCAGCACACAAGTAGGTTGATCATATCCTGCACTTGCGATCATGGTAGGTTGTACGTTACATGTACAGTAGATGTACCTGTATGTACTTGCCCCTGCAAGATTCCGCAACGTCATTACCTCCTCGTTTAGGACCACACACGAACTACACACAACAAACACGCTCTGCTGCCATTCGTTTCTGGCAACATCATTGCTGCAATGCTGGCGACAAGTTCAAGTGAACCGATCATTATTCTCGTTTGTCCTGGCGACACGGACCAGGACAAAGAAACATGCACGCAAGCACATAATTATGGATCAGCGGCTGAACCTGTACTTCCGTGATAGTTTGTAAGACTTGCCGGATCGCGTATCACAGGCTCCCTGACTGCATGAGTAGAGTGTCGGAATGTTCGGTGCCGAAAAAATGTTCATATCCGCCAGTGTGCACAGTTGAGCTGCGGACTACCACAGCGAGTTTAATAAAAGGGAAAATGTTTAAAAATATGAAAGGACAAAATGGATACGAGTTAAACGTAACTACATTGTACATGCATGAGTTCCCTTCGGGAACGGATACGATAATTTACTTTTTTTTTTTTTACTTTTTACATTGTACATGTATAATTATGTATATGTTTCCACTACTGTAACAGGGTTAAATAAATAAAGCACAAAACTGACAGTGACAGGGAGTACAGTGACACCTGGTGTAAGCGACCTCTGGTTTTAGCGATCACCTGCTCTTAACGACCATTTTTCCATGCACGGACAGCTCTACACTGAACCTGTTGGACCTGGTTCTAAAGACCACCTGGGGCTTTAATTACATGTACTGCTGTTGATTGCACCGTGGGGTGGCCGCTTAAACTACATGTAGGTTTTACTGTACTGAGACATTGAACAACCGGACACCTACATGTACATGTACATTGTACATTGTACATGATCATTTTTTTGTGTGTTTGGCACCTATGATCAGGGGATCCCCCGGGATGGCCCACGCCTGGTAAAAAAGTAAATAATTAAAGAAAAAATTAAAAAAAATTCTGCGTTCCGGCTCTCCACCTTCTCCGCGAACATAAGAAAACTAGAGGAGAAAAAAACAAACACAAGAAGCAAGAATGACACGAAAAGCAGAATTATGAGAACATGGTATAAATGAGCACGGCCATCAACCTCAACAGGGGGGATAGCCGCCTCAGCAACATGATCATTGTACAGTGTAGCTCTAACACATTTCCACTGCACAAACCAACGGCCATTCAGCTTGGAAGGTTCAGGTCGTTGAGAGCATTCTGGACAGATGTACAACGGTGATTGTACACGTGCGATCACACACAATAACACACACAATAACACACACAATAACACACACAATAACACACACAATAACACACACAATAACACACACAATATCACACACAATATCACACACACACAATAACAATAACAATTTTGTCTGATTGTTTATTCTCTATCGACTGACGATGACTGGTATTCTGAAGGTATTAATTGGAGGGTTTGAAACATGGAAAATAGGCATTCATTCACGTCATGCAATTCATTACCATTTCCTGTTACATGTACTGTTGAGGTAGAGTTATTGTAGGCAAGCATTGGATGACTTGGCACGATAACTACACACAAGAGTAGACCAGGTCAGTGAAAGGTGAACACGAACAAGCGCTATTAGGTGCACAGTTTTGATCATTTTCCAAATACATGTACATGTACATGTACATGACGCGCGCCTTAGGTAAACACTGGCCGCAATTGTATGTACACCCACAAACCACATGACTGTACACGTCTTCACTTCAGTAGAAGTAGAACCCGACATCGTAGACTATTTTCAACGCACGGATCGATATTGCAGTGGTATTGATTGAAGGGTTTGACATTTTTAAAAATTTTATTTTTGGAAGCATTCATTCAAATAATTAATTTCGTCATGCAGCTCATTGCCCCTTCCTCGGCCTCGTAGGCTACCCTTGGATGACTTGCAGAATAATGACAAACACCAAGTACATGTACATGTATGTGAAAGGTGAAACAATCAAGCGCTACTGCTCAATTTTGGTCACTTTTACAATACATGACATGCGCATTATGCGCATCGGAGGTAAACACTGGTCGTCCTTGACCCTGCGGAGTTGGTCTCCGACTCAGAAGTTCACTCCCGTCGCTTCTACGTGATTCACTAAACACAGACACTGACAGCCTGCTAAGTACTAATATAGTAATAATGAATGCAGGGCATTGAAGTTTTTTTGTTTTGTTTCAGCGTTCAAGCTTGTGCAGCATTTCTTAGCATGCAGTGGTCCCATTCAAGCTGTTGTTGACATACTTGAACAAGGGGCTTATCTGCACACTGCACAAGTGCACAGCCCACTAACTACGTCAGTAGAGCCCATGGCCCAACAAGGGCAGAATAAAATGTTTCGTATCAGATCGTTTCAAACCAATAAAGCACTCTCAAGAGCATGAGGTGAAAGGTGGAGATTGATAATAATAAATAGGCCTATCCACACATCAAGTGCTGAGGAAATTTCAACAGAATGTCAATGACACATGAACTTTATCATGAACTTTATCAAGACTTGGCAAACGTGTCAAAAAGAAGATAATCATTATTTTCAGAAAGTTCGATGGAGATTTGCGTAGAAAGATTTGATTTAAATTGAAAGTTGAAACATTTCACTAACTTGAGCCGAAAAGTTCAGTAACGATAATTATGGATTTCAAAATAAAATGCCCATGAAAGAAGCTCTAGATGGGATATAGGTCAGACAAAGAGTACATACAATACAGTAAAATTGGAGTTTGCCGGATCCTGTACCAAGCGGAAACCAGTACTGACCGTGAAAATTCCATGCACCGGCGTACTGTCGATTCCATGCACAGGCGTACTGTGGATTTTAACGTGCATCCCGGTATCACGAGGAATCCTGTCTTGTCAGGACAGTTTCCGCTGCACCAAGGGCGTCCGCTTCGAAAATGGTTTTACTGTATTCGAGATGAACACAGCGGTAGTTGGTTTGGTCAGCACCAAACTGATATCAACTGCAGGAGAAGAGTGCAGTGACAACAGCAGCCGGGTCCGCACTGCGTGGACACCGCAGTGTGCACGGTTTCATGTGTGTAGCGCGGCACATCATATTCTGCATTCCGAACACGCCCTCTTCTTCATCAGCTCTCCAGCAATTCAACATAGCTCCGTTCTGTTTTCGGGCTTGCCGGAGGGTAATTCTGCACGTATAGACAATGACAGGGGATAAAAAAAAAGAATGCATCAGCTCTACTTCTAGGGGCTGCAAACAAGTAAAAGAAAGTAAATTATTGTATCCGTTCCCGACGGGAACTCACGAAAGCTGCTAACACCCGGTAAACCCTACTGCAACCAATAGAAGCCCAAAGGACATCTGCCCAGTGTCATTCTAACACACACACACACACACACACACACACACACACACACACACACACACACACACACACACACACACACACACACACACACACACAACACACGTGTACCATATTTTCCGGAGTAGAAGCCACATCCAGATTTTATTGTCACAAAATACAGACATCTGCCCTGTACTTCACAGTTCATTTGACAATCATACTTCATAGTATAAGCTGCACCAATTTTGTTCGGTGCATTGCAAGTGTTCAAAGTGTGGCTTATACTCCGGAAAACCAGTGTTATCACTACTTAGTAGTCTAGTATATATCACACTGTGTGCACTACATCAGACAACCACGGCACCCGTCTCACTCCGTATCTAAATGCATGGGAGCAGCAACACATGTTGCGCGAGAGGAGGAAAAAAAAAAGGAGGGGGGGGGATAAGGATTAACTATTTCGCAACACTGGTATAATTATATTCATGTGAATTCAAGCTAAGTCAGCTCACTGTACTGGTGATGCACCTCAAATCTAGCATTTACTTCACGGTGACACTCCACTAATGTAAACAAGCGTTTCGGGGGCAAAAAACCTGCACATTGCAATGAAGAGTAAAAATTGTGCAGTGACCATGCTTTACTGCTTTTAGTGGTGATGCATAACTACTACAGTAACGGCAAGAGTAGATAAACAAGAGCGGATGGGTAGGCCCACGGCGGAATTTTTTGTTGACGTAATCTTTTCGACGACGCACGCGCTGCGAGTCTTTCAGAAAGTTTTCCCTCGTGCTCTTGGCCGGCTTTACACTACATGTATACAAGGCCGGTGCCCAGCACGTGCTCTCACACTGCTCTGCGGCAAAATGCGCGTTCTTCTGAAAAAAGGTGACGTCAACACAAAATTCCACCGTGGGCGGGGGTATCTTCAGATTATGCAGGAGAGATCCGGAGTTGCACACTCTTGTTTATCTACTCTTGGTAACGGTCATGGGAGAGACCTGAATGTGAAAAGTACAATCAATTTCGCTAATAACGACGGCAGATATAACGGCCATTCGCGTATTACGACAGAATTTCCATGCCCAGAGTAAGGTCCCATCTACCTGTATACATATAATGAGACTTCGGGTATAACGACATTTCGCGAATAGGGACATGTTTCTGATGCCCCGCCGAGTGTCGTTATCCGCAACGTTGACCGTACATGTAAAAGAATAACCATTAAATGTGCTAAAATCTTACCTTAGGTCTGAGAATGGGTCGAGTGAAGACGATCAAATGTCCATCACCATCACTACAGGATTCGCCCATTCGGATCATCTCCATGGCAACAGACACACAGCATCTGTATCGGTAGATCCTGGAACCATTCCTGGACGGGAGAAAGCACAGAACATGTCAGCATAAATCACAGGGACAGAAACTTAGACAAACCTTGGTGGCGCACTCATACCTCAGTTTTACGGACCCCAAATTTACGGGCACTTCGGTCTACCGGGCACCTTGTGGGCGAGTTTCAGTGGAAATATTACTACTCTTTTGTCGCTTTTTTTTGTGGAAATAGTGACATCATATGCCATTTTCTATTGCCTTTCCCCATCAAAATGTATGTGATTCGAAGTGACGGACATTTCGAAGTTACGGGCAGTGCCTGGTCCCGGACCACCCGATAAACGAGTGCGTGTGGTACAGTGAAACCCGACTAAGACGACCGCTCAAGGGACCTTCAAAACGTGGTCTCTGTTACCAGGTGGTCTCCTTGTCCAGGGTCGCTAAACTGTGAATGACATCCCTGGTTCCTGGTTACAGTGGCCATCTGGGCCACGTGGTCGCCAGCGGTCATCTTTTACTGTATCTCCTACACGGAATGTGCTGGATGTAATACTAGTTTGTTTCGGCCTCTCTTACGGGCAAATTAACACAATGGTTTAAAATGCAATAAATCATACCCTGGAGAAGAAATGCATGTGTAAAATAAAAGAATTTTAAACCCAAACCAAAAAAAACTTCAAATCAAGATGTAATACTAGTTATTGCTAGCTGAGAAAGCTTGAATCCACCCCCGGTTATGTGGGTTAGACGTGCGGAGTGCCACTGTGTCCGCACCGTCACGCCTCAACATGTTAACTTACTTTACAGCCAAGGTGAAGAGATCAGGATCGCTGTGGCAGTCCCGTAGCAGGTAAGAGCCGTCTCGGCATTTGCTGAGGATTTGAATTTCGGTCTCCCTGACGCAGAAACACGCACAGACGTAGTCACAAGTACCGCACAAATGCACATAAGATGAACAGGTTGGAAACTGTTTTTGGGTGCATCGGGCATGATTATGCACTCCTGGTCTTAACTGGTGTGAGCTGGGCTTTCTCACAAGAAGTTCATTGTCAGTGCAAATACTGGTCGACAAACATTGCTCTACAAGAGCACTGTGAGCATGCTGCTTGCTAACCTAGACGTGGACTAGAAACACAATACAAGTAATTGTACTTTCCCTGAGGATTGCTAGCTATGTAACACGAGTTACAAATATCGTCAATAAACCCTTCTTCTCAATTATTCAACTACTGTATAACATAGGGAGGGCATCACTGGTCAAAGCCCTGGTGGAGACGGTACATTTTTCTGACATTTCACCTTTCAGGCTACATCAAATTCAACATGAAACAGACGAATATCTGACATCTATATTGTCAGTAATAACTCTACGCTGAAATTCAGCAGCCACTCACTTGGACAGGGCTCCCCAGTAGTAATTCAGTTGAAACTCATCTGCGCTGGCGGCTGCTGAGGATTTCGAGCTCTTCTTGGAGCGAATAGACAGTATCATCTTCTGCACGCACAAACACGGCAATGGCACGATTCGCAGCACGTTCAGCCTCTATTATACTGCAGCTCAACCCATTACATCATCATCATCAGTTACATCATCCTTGATGCCATCAAATACTGTACCCCTGGTAGGTTGACTGGAGGTTGCCTGGTGCCCTGAATGAATGAATGTCCTACTTGGAATGCATCTACCACTAACTGTCACATGACTCAGCAAGACAGTAGTTGTAACTGTTCTGATTCATAATTATTAAATATTAAAAGAATAAAATGTGTTTGATGCTATAATAATGAGAGGTCTTTCTGGTGCTGCGCGTTTAGGAGCACTCATACAGGCAACCATGCTCCTTTTCCATTTCCACTTCTTTTCTTTTACTTGATTCCAAGCACAATCAGATACAGCAAAGCAGGCCAAAGACAGGGGACAGTGATGAGTTGGATGTAGTGGGTGTACAAGCACTTGAGTTTATGTATTCACAAGTGCCAGTTGACAGGCGAAATTGCTGTTCAGCTAGAAATCAGATCAAACGTCCAGCGTGTCAAGTGCAGAGCTGTGTGGCTAAAAGGTAGGCATGTTCACTGCATTTATCCTGAACACAGAGATAGGCACAGGGCAATGCACAGGAAGTTGAGTCAGGAAGGACTAGACTTGATCTCAATGGGAATGATTTCCGTTATAATTATAACACACAATAGAGAAAAAAAGCCGTGTTGTGACTCCCATGTGCACATCAACACTGCCCAGTATGGGTACAGAGTAGTGGAGAGCCCTGCTTAGATAAGCCAGGCGTTAGATACATGCACAAGTTGTAAAGTCCCAGAGACCCAGAGAGGGAAGTTGCTGGAATCACTGGCTGTTGATTCTGAATTGTGGTCATTTCATTGTTGGTCCTTGTATCACTATTAGGCACAGCAGCATGCATCTGAAGTGCACGGAGAGAATTGTATTATTTGTATTTGTTTTTATTTTACATCGCAAGTCAAACGGCTGTGTTACACGTTTACAATCGAGACCATTGGAGTTGCTATGCCGACATTGAACAGATACATGCAATATTAAGACGTTGGACACTCGGTCTGGGTCAACAAAAACACTGACAAAACTATTTCATGACTTTGATCGACTGGTCGTTCTGTTGAAAATAGCTCTGAGCAATTGAGCAATGTTGACTCCAAGGGAGATTCAAACGGTGCCAATTTCAGTTGTACGCACCTCAAAGAAATTATATTCACTCAATGTCTTGAAATATTGTTGTTCAACAGAATAAATTTCTTGAGCACAATAGCTCCTACTTGTACCTTGTAGTAATTTCGATAAAGTAGTCAGAACGCTTTTTTTTCTCGTGAGAAAGCACCTGCATGCTACCAAGAGTACATGAAAACCAGAGTGTGCAGCTTGGATGGGTTGCTGTCACGGCGAAATTCCGTGATTACATCATTTTAGTGATGTAGTGCGTACAAGCAGGATTCAAGCAGGTCTCTTTCTGCACAACTGCAGCTCAGTTGCACGCACTACGCCATTTCCCGCCTCAGATCTGCACCAAATATGATGTAATCACGGAATTCCGCCGTGACAGACACCCATAGCAGAGAAGGCCCCAAGCTGCACACTCTGGTTTTCATGTACTCTCAATGCTACGCAGTGGGAGAGTGGGGCGGAATGGGCACAAAACTGCATGGAACATGTCAATGATAGTTTTCTTTTGTCGGCCAGTACAACACCAGCTGCGTGGTATAAAGTACAGCAGTCAGTACTATTGGGCTGCTGAACAAAACGGCCAGGACTTGGCCAATTACAATGATAGCGGATTTTTCAGCCATACTGGAGTATAAGCCGCACCCCCCCCCCCCCCCACCCAAGCACATCTTCAGGTCCTGAAGATGTGGCTTGCCCGAAAATGCGGATAATAGTGAGGTTTTGCATTCCGAAATTCGGCAAAAGATTCGGCACGCGGGAGCGGGGTTGGAAAATGCACTTGAAGATTCGGCATGTTTCCTCGGAAAAAGCTCACTTTGCCGAAAGTATTTTTCGGAAGAAGTTTCTTGTAGATAGCGCTAGCGCGAGATATATCCAAAGAGGTTTCTTATCTCGGCATGGCTTCACAGGCGTCTTCGGCGACAGCAGCATCGCCAGCTACCTCTGCTTGCTTCTTCCCACTGCCTGTCTACTCTCTTTCGCCTGGAGTGTCATCACCATCATCTGTGCGGCTGAAAAGACTATGGCGATACGCATAAAATTTGACTTGGGCATGGAGTTGGTTCTTCTGAGGCGACTGAGGAGGCAGATTTGGCCCTCGACTCTTTGGGCGATCAAAGGTTCGTGGAATCAGCAATGAAAGGAGCGCGGGACAGGACATTGCTGATGCTGGAGCTCATGAAATGAAACCACATGATGCTCTGCAAAACAAAAGTTGGTTCGAAAATTCAACATTTTGATGTTCGCCAAATGACCGAAGAACGCCGAACTGAAATTCGGAATGCAAAACCTCACGAATGATTGGAATTTTCGGGCAGAAAATTCGAATCATTAGAGAGTTTGCGCACAACGAAAATTTGTAGCACCGAAACGAAAAGTTTTAACGAAAAAAGCTAACGAATATTCGTAAAATGTGAGGTTGCGAACGTGTGAACCTTTTCGTAGTGGGTCGACACGGCAGCCGCACGGGTGCGAAGAGTCAAGACAGGGAGTTGTAAATATCAGTATTTTAGCACTCCAATCGACGAGAACATTTCTTGTAGATCCACTCTGTTTCGGTCGCGTTTGGACGGATCTTCGTATCAACTTTCGTTACTCGAACCCGGACGGTCAAAATCTTACGAAGTTTTGTTGTGCGCAACCTCTCTATTATCTCTCTTTTTCTTTTAGTGATTGGTGTAGCCCAGAGACCGTTTGGAGAGTGTCGTGAAGATGTATGGATAAGTTCTTTAACTTAACGACACAAAACAACAGATCAAATGGAGAATTAAAGCTGCTCTTCACTCTTGACATACAGAATACAACTCATTAAATTTATTTTCGCAGACTGTTATCACGGCTGTTAGCTGCACTTGGATCGCGGCAACTTAGTTTTCTGCACGTGAACCATGAAAAATCAATGCATGCTCATGAATAACCAGTCAGCTGGCCTGCTCGCCCACGCATTTGACAGGTAACAATTCCATCAAATTTGAGATATGCTTCATTCTAAGTCTCAAAACAGTTCTAAAGTCACCAAACCACGCTGGCAATCGATGGCTATTCAATGTTAACATCTTCAGGAAGACTTCAGCCGTTTCCCGAAAGTTTGGGCATCGTTGCCGTTTTCTTTCACGGTGTTCTTCTTCCTCCTGTCTGGAGCTGCAATTGCATCCTGGAATTATTTGAACGGTATTTCGTGCGGGCTGTGGGCGGTTCCAACAGGCATAAACTGACATCGCTATAGGATAACTGGTAACTTTCACCCTTCAAGGAGGTAGAGCAAATGAGAATTTTTTTGTGGCGGTCGTCCAATTTTTGTGACGGTCGTGGCTGTATTTGTGCACTTCCAAGGCTTTCATTCTCCCTGATACTACTCTCTACTGTATGGGAATCGTTGTTTAGGCACATGTAGCTGTCTTATTTGGTAGATCTGCTGTTTTCAATCACTTGGGACACTTTGACTAGCCTATTTGTCTTTCGTTCGTGCCATCTATCAGTTTCGTGGGGTGCCTTGGCCTGTATTTGTGAAGTTCTCGAAAAAGACCCTAATTCTTGACTGGAGTCACGACTTGAATTGTATTTGCTGGGCGAGCCCTCGTTCACGCAGTTGTCCTTATCGTAATAGTCGATATCTGGTTGCTGGACGGACTAGCGGCTAGAATAGGGATGACCAAATGGTCCAAGTGTGTACTAGTACACGAATATTGTTTCCATCATCATGAAATGAGCGTTGTGGAATTGCAGCCGTCTGCCTTTGGCACTGAGGACAGAGTTGATTGTTACTTCTGCTCAGCAATGAAGCGATCATCAGCTCTCTTTGTTCTAATTATTAAGAGGACATACCGGCATCGCAATCAAGTAAAGATTAGGCAAACCTCACCAACCTCCAAAGAGAGTCGAAGATATTTTCTCCAAATGCAAAGACGATCTTTGTGAGTTTATGACTTGCATTTGCGTGCATACATGAGCAAGTCACGGACCACGGCACGTGCGCGGTTACCATGCCATCTCGAACCGACGCCATCTTTCTAAGTAAGTTAGTTGCCGCTTCTTGACAGCCGTGTTATCTGCGCAAAATATATATTTTTTAAATGTTTGGACGTCGTTGATAAATTCCACGTCAGGTCACAAGTCATGCAGAAAGCAAAACTGTCAACAAAAATGCTTTGCAAACACATGTACTGTACGCGAAAGTAGAAAGTAGAATGTAAAAACACACTGCACAATTATGTCCTGTTCCCCTTTGATCTCTCACCTTGATACTCATCGTGTTCGGGCTCAGCTGTTTTCCACAACCAGCGATTCTCAGTCCACGCGATTGTTCCGTACTGTAAGCGCCCCGGCCGGTACAGGCGGATCCGTTGAACGACAGTTTCTAGACGACTTCAACCAAATGTACTTGCGGATTGCTGCGCATAGGTTTTGCGGGATCTCCACAATCTCAAGGTCTACAATTGTAAACAGATCTTCTCAAAATACTAGATTTGGGCGAGTACTAACACTGACTGAACGCTGTTGTGCTCCCTGAGGGACCAGAACCACTGGAGTTTCGCCAACGCCGGCAACGGCCAGAGTTGAAGGCAGATCCGCAGCTGCAGCCAGTCTAGTCACTCTAGTCTCTAGGTTCTCTTAGTCGTAGATCTACTGGCCGTCAGGGGCACTACGAGTGAGACTCTACGAGTTCGAGTAGTTGATGATGGCGGCTTTACGGAAGTCTAGCCACAGCGCGGAGAAAATGTGACTCTCAACACAAACATAATGTTTATGACTATGACTGTGAGTGTGAGCTCGAGAGTGCGCAAGACGACGGCACTAACCAGTGATTGCACTGATTCGATCGATCGAGTGAGCAGAACAGCTAGCCAGCGCTCAGCGTAGCTATCGCCTACGCTGATCGAGACTTGACAGCAACCACGCACGAGCAACAGCCGTCACTAGGCGAATCTGTGGTCAAACAAACTAACTATTACTGCCTTTGATGTGAAGGGGACGATGTGATTGATTCCAACACGTGTCTTGCCAGTAGTCTACTCACGATCACGTACTAGTACTGTTCAGTGCATGCTGCAAGGACTAGCTGTCACCGCATGCAGGACATGTCGCCACAGCCAGTGGAACCCCTCACACTCACACGGTCTCCTCCTGTCCAAGCAAGATAATGAGCATGCAGCCAGTTACAGTCACGACTCACTAGTTCGGAGGGCTGATGCGAGGAGTCGGAAGACATCAACGCCGGGCGAATCCGCTACCCCGGTACGGAGAGGCGCGGCACTTCCTTTGCCAAATCAGCGTGTTGTTGGCGTTCGTACCACTAGTTGCACTGCCAGCACTGGCAACAGCAAAAGCCAAAACCTCTTGATCTACAATGTCAATTTTGTTTACAATGAATGATGATGTACATGTACATGGCATATTGTGTAGGTGAATGCAACCACACGTTTGGCACGGGTGTTTGCAGTGCATGAACTCTGGCCAGTCGTCCCCGTACGCAAAATGCGTACGCATTCGGATCTACCGTACATTTCCTCATGTTTTGGGCGAATCTGAGCGGTACGACGCTGTCGAATTGGGCCTGAATTTGCCCTGAACCAGCCGCTATCGGAGTAAAATTAGGTGTTTTGAAGGCCACACGGGAACACTGCGGCCATATCTTCTTTCCTGTGTCGTTTGTTTGAAAATCGGAGTGTTTTTGAGCTCGTAGTTTCGTCTTCGTTGTGGAATGGCCGTGCGTACATTCTCCTTGGAATTACCAAAGTCACAACCCCGTTTATTACATTACTAAGAGTTTTGCCGGCAGCCACGATAGTTTTTATCCCTGCTTCCATACATCCTTTCATTGAATAGCCAAACGAAACTTTGTGGCGCGCCTTAGTTTTTTGTGGCGCGGGGGTCTCAAGTTTGTCACTTCGAGTTGTACACAACAGCCACATCATCTCAAAGGACCAAAAACACCAAGTGAGCAAAGTATTTCAACGTTGCGATTTTGCGATTTTGCCTGGCCTGCTGTGAAGATGGAGACTTCTACTCGGTAGCAGACACTCGTTTCAATAAGCTGGGAGGGAGAGCGTGGCGAGTAAAATGTTGGGATGAAAAGAGCCACATTCTCTCTCGGAAAAAGTCGTCGTTCCCACACGTACACACGTACACTTGCTCTAGCTCTATCCAGATCTGCAGAAGGCTAGATTTTGCATGCACGTGCGAGATTCGCATCCGCCGCTCACATAGCCAGAGTCGAAATTTTTGTACTCTCGGATTTGCCGCCATCTTGACGAGTGGCCGCTGCGAAACACCCGTGTTGGGCGTGCGAGCCTGTCATGCAGGCGCTAGGCGCGGCGCGCGTATCCTGCAGAGTTTAGCTTTGCAGGCGCTAGGCGTCAAGGGTGTGCACTGTGCTGAAAGCTATCTATCGCTCTACTGCGCGATTCATCCATCACGAGTGTCGAGTCGCGTTGTGCCTAGCCCTTCACTGTTCACTTCAGTCCAGGATTCATGAATGCCGGGACGGGAAGTGCATGCAGAATCCTGGATTGTTGGACCGTTGATGTTACAAAACTCAAAAGTACGTAGACCTACGACAGTACGAGCTAGTAACATGACTGCAGCTGTCTGTTTTTTTTGTTTTTTGTTTTTTTCAGGAATCCGGCCACAACGCCTGCACAAATACGTGTACATTATGTCATGTACATACGATGACATAACCATAACATAACAATAATAATAATCTTTATTTTAGGATTACCCAAAGGCTAACGCCTATCTCGGGCTATCTGGGGGATCTCCTATTTGTGTATATACTAGTAACATAGTTTTAAAAGGATGCGAGAGAAAGTGCGCAAAGTGAGTGTGAAATGTTGGTTTGAAAAAGGAATAATAAGAAACACAAGGAAAGAAAGTACATGTAAGACAGGAAAGAAAAGAACAAGCATGTAAATCAATGATTGCATATCAAAGGTGTACCAGCGCAGTCGAACTGATACTTAGCAATGTGAATACGTAAATGACGCTTGAATTCAGATAGGGAATCTAAAGTTGTCAATCGGGGTGGAAGACAATTCCAAAGAGAACCAGTTTTCTGTAGGAAAAGGGATGAAAAAATACGAAACAAAGCCCTAAAAAAATACTAAACAGCCTCTGAAACCGCCAGCGTGGCGGGAGGCTCTTGTTGCTCCATTCTTTTCCGTGTTCCAGACCCTCTAAGGCACACTATACATGACCTTAGGAGGGCAAAGGAAATGCGGCACCTGACAAATGCCATGACTTGTGAATATGGTTCATTACGTCTGTCAGCCAGCAGCGAATCAAACTCTTGAACGGCTGGACAGATGGAGACCAAATTTTCAGAGATTTTGCAGCTATTCATGCTCTTTCAACTAATGTAGTACTAGATATGAATTTAGAAATTCGATTTTTCAAGGATTTTACGACCAGGCTGCCTAGGCCTTGACGGATTATGCTAGCATAATATTTCGCATAATTCCTACCAAAATCGAATAATCGCATAATTCGAGGCAAATTGCATACGAATCGCATAAAATTGTAATAATCCGCCTGTTCGCATCAAATTCCATACAGTTGTACATGTTCTCCAAGTACAAGTACAAGTACATATGTAGATGCACCAGGAAGTTGTAGGTTTACGACTCCCTTGATAATATGTCCAGTCCACTACAATCAGTGATGGTCGTAGCCAGGTCGGACGATGCGTTGACCCCGTTGAACTTTTGCTACTACAGTACAACGCCCTCTACAAAAAAATTCCCTTGTTATTTTGCACAGAACTATTTTGCATTAGCAGCATATGTGAGCATAATGCGGCATAATATGGTAACTTTTAGCATAAAAATGGCATAATTCTGCAATTTTTTCAGCAATGCGAAAAGCATAATTTCACGAAAATATTAGCATAATCCGTCAAGGCCTAAGGCTGCCCCCTTAATTAAGGCGTAGACCAAAGGTAGATGGGGCTATGGGGAGATGTCATGTACATTGTACATGTACAATGTACATGTAAAGAGTATCTACATGTACATGTACACGAGGCGTGAAGAGTATCTATCTATAATGGTTCTACAACACACACTTGAGAGGGACGAAAAGCGTTTCTTCTGTAACTCTGAGTTTCACGGTTTTAACCGATCATCATGACAGTATGGTTCTACAATGTAGATTCTCCCGCCACACAATTAATGTATTCGTGGTAGCGAAATAGGATACGTTATTAATGTTAATATAGCTATGAATAGAATGAAGGCCGCAGACATCACGCAACTACGTTACTTGTTTGACATGTATTTACTGTGTATTTTATAACAAAAATATTATTGAAAACCCATAATCGATTTTCTTGTTCCTATCATCAGTGGGAAAAACGGAACTAAGGATACAACCAAAGAAACTGAAGTTAAGTACTGTAAATAGAAAGGTGTTAGAAATAACAAACAAGTAACGTAGTTGCGTGATGTCTGCGGCCTTCATCCTATTCATAGCTATATTAAAATTATTATCTCCACGCAGATTATTTGTTATTAAGTTATGCAGTTTTAATACACGAGATCAAAACGGAGTTTATAATATTATAATTATGTGTGTGTACGTGGAGGGTGGGGGATCGGCTATGTACTCATACTGAAGTCAACAAAGGACTGTACTGTGAAAAGACAAAAACAGTTTGCGGGGATTCCCTTTTTTTAAAGTATACAATGCTGTCGATCGAACTGCGCTTCCTGTGCGGAGAAGGGGGCTCACACCCCCTCCCCCAGAGTGTCAGTTTCCTCATGTCTAACTCCAAAAACGAAGTGAATATTGTAGTGATCATACTAGCCGAAGTTATAAAAATACTGCTACTACCCACACGTGTGTTACTCCTTTATATCATTACTCTGATGATGGGCCAGGCCCGAAAATTTGGTGTAATGTTAATTTTAATTTCGGTTTGAATGGCAGTGAAGAGACCGTTTTTGGAGTTGAGAAGTGAAGTTTGCATGATAAGTAAGTGGCTGTGTTGGAGTTTGCGGACAACAAGAAAAGTTTACTCCTATATACATGCAATCACACCCCCCCCCCTCCCGGCTTTAAAGCACTGTGAAACAGTCATGTCTATATTGAAGAAAAGCGTATTGTGTATGTGTGAGGGGTCAAGGATTGGAAGAACGTCCTTAAAGGCTGACAAGAAGAATCTTTATAGCTAGTGAGGATTGGCTGTGAGATATTGCTGTTTCTCGAGATGTCTACAATACTAGGACATTTTAATAAAGGAAGGCGGCGGAGATTTGCTGAACGATATTGCTGTTTCTCAAAATGTCTACAAAAATCTCTGGAACACAATCACAACTAAGGTCTTCCGCTGCCTAAAAAATGTCTAATGTCTAAAATACTACGCGAGCAGGAAGACAATCTCCAGAAACGTGGCAACTAGAGTATGTGTATGCCTGTTACCTAGACAAGCAATGGTGACACCCAGTGCTATTCACTGAGAGCAACAATATGCAATGTACATGGACGTGGACATTTTCAGGTTGCTATCAAAATAAGCTAACAAAAAACCCTTGGAATAATCCCCACGTCTTATGCACACCTACTAATACTAAAACCGGGTACTTGTAGTTAGGCAATATCTCACCACACATTTGTACTCAGGTTGGGTGAGTTAGGTGGACCTAGGTGAAATGCTGAGAATTTCTTCAAACAAGATTTGGGATAACGGTGGGTTCAGGAACACAACTGTGAAAATTTAATTTCACCCTATGTTGAGTCCAGTAAAGGTGTTCCCAGCCTTACCCACATACTTGAGATTATCGTGGTATGATCTCAGCAATCAATCTGTACTGAATTCCTAATATGGGATGGCTGGTCATTCGAATCATCATTGGCTGGGATGGCTGGTCAGTTGGATCATCATTGACTGGGATGGCTGGTCATTTGGATCATCATTGGCTGGGATGGCTGGTCATTTGGAGCATCATGGGCTGGGAATGTGGGATGGCTGATCATTTGGAGCATCATTGGCTGGGAATGTGGGATGGCTGGTCATTTGGACCATCTTTGGCTGGGCCCCAGACTTGATCAATTTATTTCCAAGCACTGATGAAATTGTCACTTCAAATTTATAACTATAGCACTGGTACTACTAGTATTGCATGTCCTGGCTTCCACCACCAGCACCCACTCAGCCAAGGCCCTCCATGTCCAGTGCCAGTGGTGTACCAGAGCCAAGCTGTGTGTAGGATTTCAAGTCGCAACTTTTCCACAAATGCTCAGCACTTGTTCATAATACACCAGGCAAGTAGCAGCAGGCAGGAGACCAGGCCCGACGCAACGAACGCCACTGGGGTCGGTTGGAACATCATGAACACAACTCGCTTTTTCCACTTCCAGCCCTGACCTCGCCAATCGGACTTGACATACCGCCGGTCCAGCAGCGCAGTACCCGTGGTGATATCTGCTTTCAGGAAGTCGTCTCCACTGCTAGTAGCAGTATTAGCTTCATTCTGCTTCTTGGACGCTGATTTCCCAAGAAACTGAAGCAGCGATTTATCGGCCCTCACGGTGTAAACAGCACCATTGATCGCGTCCATAATTCTGACAGGAGATGGCAGTAGTCTCTCCCATGTCGACCTGTTGCCAGTCGTAGATCTACGACTTTCCAGGAGCAACCGGGCGGCTCGCTCCTCATTTCGCAAACGCCGCTCCAGACGCGCTTCAGCGTCGTCCACGTCCGCACGGTTGTTCGATTCAGTGCGATCGTTTGTGTTGCGATCCAGCACACCATCACACTTGAACAATAGAATGCAGGCAACTAGCGCTGCGCTGCACAACAGGCAGACGAACTCTCGACGCTGACTGCTTGTACACGAACTAACAGTCATATTCTAGGACGAAGTTCCTGGGCTAAACAACGAAGACTGCACCACAAAAAGGATTCTTTCTACTATTCTCCGAGACTGGTGATACCTGCATCAGCTCATAGTTGTCACACAGTGGCTGTAGCGAATTCTGGCAGCGGAAGAAATGTAAAGAAAGTAATGTCACGAAACACGGACACAAACAGGAACGACGGTTGATCCAGGTCCACTATCGGAATACAGAACTCAGCTAGTGTAGGTCTACGCGTACTAGTTTTCCACAGGAGTTGGCGGACGAAAACTGGAAGAACGGCTGAACAGCTGGGATAGTAAGAGCTGAAATCAACAACAGCAAAGAGCGAAGCAGCAAGGAAACACTACGCAAAGAAAGTCGTTGTTTTCATCGTCACATGCACGAGACACAAGTCAGCCTCGCACACCACCGTTTGGCAATGCAGACTTGCAGTCTGCAGAGCGAGTACAAGTGTAGAGCTGAGCCTGAGGCCGTGAGGGTCGACAGGTCTCAAAGGCGCTATGTAGTATGGATATGGGCCCACGACTCACGGGCGATCTGGCTCAAACCCGCTAGCTGGCACGTGAGACTCTACTCATGGAATGATTGCAGTACCATGTACCAGTCTCGTACTCTACACCTGGGTACCTAGCCTAGCCCATGCAGGCTAGCGCCAAAAAGACACCGTCGTGTCGCTGATGGACATGTGACAGCCGGTGACAGAGAAGCCTTCTCTGCCCGTCTCACGGCGTCTGGGGAGCAGAGCATGCGACTCGATGCGAGTATCACCATGACTCGCATGATACTCCACTGGCCTGGGTAGAGGACAGACCAATCTTTTGAGTGTAGGTTGTTTCCAAGACTTGGCTAAGTAACAGTTGGCAAGAGAACACTATACAGTCTACACTCATCTTTTCAAGTATTTTATTTATGCAGTGGTAATACTAGTTTGCTGTCTTATGTTCTCAGAATGCGCGTCGACTTGATGTTAGTGTTGGATTAGGCATTTGCCAGGTGTGTGCATGTGCAAATCACCACCGAGGCCAGGCTTGAGCAGAGCCTCACCCAGGCAGTGAAGGATGAGTAGTTCACTGTGACACACAGCGCTTGGTCATCCAGGCCTGTAACGCCAACGCGAGGGACGGCACCGTGTACCAGTCTAAGGAAACAAAATTAAATTTTGTAATACAATCATACAATACAATCATAGACCGTACTTCCTTTCTTCTCAAGGGTGAATGACTCGCATCATGCGGCATGCAGCGGGTAACTGGGTGGATCATACGCTGCTGTCAACACGAACAACAGCGTCTTTGCCCAGACTCGCTGTTACTGTCACTGAGCCTGACATATTGATTTTTTTTAATATTTCAGTTCTTCAGAGCAGCTTTTCTTCTTTTCTTTTTCTTCATTTCGCCAGTATGGCTGCCACACTAGTATAGCACTTCGTCTTGGGGTTGAGACATGGGATCTAGGAGGCTTCCATACAGGATGTCAGCCCACCTGTCCACACTGGGACCACAACTACCGGTATGTTTCCCTTTTCAAAAGAAACGCAGCCTTTCACCAGACATCTGAATAATGAACATGGCAGCCACTAAACAGATTGAAGACAAAGACTGATGGATACAATCATGACATTAATATTCATAGTTAGTTCCATAAAGAAAAGATAATACCGAAAAATAATAATCCTGCATTTGGTCTTCAGAAGATGATATTACAGATGTGGAGTATGCATGGATGGAGCATGGGAAAGAAATCTGGGGCATAACTTATCAATATAGAAACACACACCATTGTATGAGCGCGGTGGGTTTGTGTGTGTTTCAGGTAAACAGAAACGTGGATCAAAGTCGTCGGGTGAACTGAATTTCTTCAATGAAACGAAACCGTCGATAGTTTCACATGTGACAAAGGCTAGGATACGCACTGCATAAATTTGTCGGCAATAGAAAACCATACAGCCATCATACATGTAGTTATTAGCGTCTACTCTCAAGTGTCTCAGCGATGGTTGGCCTGGTGATTTGCACCACGAAGGCCTGCACTCACGCTATAAGCAGGGTGAGGGTCGCGGCTCTCTGCTACTTCTAGAATCGTCTGTATCATCTATTGCCGGCATTGTCGCTTGGCAACGACGGTAGCGGCGAGGGAAAACGGGGCATGCTGGCAGTTCTTGGCGGGGCCACGCGAGGGCCGGGTGTGTCTGTTGAAGACGACGATGATGACGCCTTCAGTGGACTCGACCGCGGCTTGGACGTGCGATCACCGTCGTCCTCGTCAGCTGAACGAATCTGTGACATTCCCTCTTTGCTAGCACTGTGCGTCATGACAGGTCGATCCCGCTTGGGAGGTGGCGTCGGCTTTGTTGTGTCCGTCCTGCTCAGGACACTATCTTCGGATTCTTGACGGGTTGCCAAGCTTGGCCGACCTCGCTTCGGAGGCGGCGCAGGCTTTGCCGATGAAGTGTTCGCAATGTCCTCTGTTGGCGACAGATACCCGTCTTCCGAGTCGAAGCTTTTGGAAGGTGAAATGGGCTTCGAGTGGGGCTTTGGTGCCGTGGAGGGCTTGACAGACTCAACTGGCCTGCTGAGCGAATCTGTTTCCGTGTCATCCAGTTTCGGTCGGTGCACTTTGGACGGCAGCCGGGGTGGCCCAGACGTATTTCGTGATTGCTCCACAGCTTGTTGAACGCCATCGGGCTCATCACTAGACGTGGTAGTCTCTTCTCCAGCAGGTGCGGGTGCAGGTGGTGGAGGCTGGGACGGCTTCACCAGGGTGTAGGATGTTTTTGCATTCAGCTGGGCTTCTTTGTACGTTGGAGGAGGCTCGGATGGCTTGACCTCGATGTACGGCTTACGGGCGGCATCGTCATTCAACTGCGGCCGGTTGTCCTTGGATGGAAGCTGCGGCCTGCTGGGTTTATCAGATGATCTAGATGACTCTTGAGTTTCGTTGGACGCGGGTGCAAGTACAGCATCTACATCGGGTAGTGCTGGTGGTGCTCGCGGTGGTCGTTGCGGCTTCCGTGATCCGCCTTTCATGGAGTCCTTGGGCGAGATGGTGGCATCGGTGTCGGGTAGAGGTGATGACGACTTCACAGAGCTGCCCGGTGAGCTATCTGATACTATTGCCGGTGGCGACGTGGACTGCGGTCGCATCGGCTGTTGCTGTGCATGCTGCTGGAAGCTGTGAATGAGAGCGGCGCGCGTTCGCTTGCTGTGATTGAAGGGCGGTGACGAAGGCGGGCTGGTCGGATTGCTCGGGTTCTCGTACTCAGAGTCGGAGTTAAGCGCCGCCGTCTGGCGCACTACACTGCTCTGACGCTGCTGCTTCAGCTGTAGAAGTGGCCGCTGCGTTTTCGGCGCCTGCTGCTTGCCGCCCGACGCGTGCGATTTCTTCATGGCTGCAGCGGCGGCAATGGAGGATGCGGTGGTGATGTTGCGACTTGGCGAGACGGCGGGAAGCGTGTCGGCTTGCTTGGAGTCGCTGACGCCCAGGAAAGAGGGCTGAGCCGGGAGTGAGCTCGGTAGCGTAACTGCAACGGGCGAACAACAACAAACAAAAGCAGAAGAGCAGTCGTTAGTCGTGACCAGTGGCGTAGGTGGTGGCTGCACAGCTTGGATACTTGACTAGACTTGTGCAGGCAGACTTCATGTGTGAATCGTAGAGCCAGCATGTCCAGCATCATTATGCACTAGTACAGGGAGAGGGAAATTGGGTGGATTCGGAACCATCATTTACGGAACCACCTCTATAAAATTCGGCAACACTCCAGTTTCAGAATTGGAAAGAACAGAATACTTATGCAAAAAGACACCCACACACAAAGTAACTTCACCATGCTACTTACACCCCGACAGAGAAAGGCACAGTTGTCAGTGCTTACATGCTTTGGCTGGGGACACGGAGCATGCATCCTCGTACGTGTCTTCCTCTTGCAGGTCGCACGAGGCGTAGTGCTGCGACTCCACTATCACATCCGTCGATCCCATCTGGCATGCAGACGGCGCGGTCGTCGCCAGGGCAATTCCCCCGGCGGTGGCGGTCGTAGCAGCACCGTCGACCGTCTCGGGGCTGGCGTAGATGTTGTGGTCGTCGACGATGCGATCCAGCGTGCGTCCTCTCTTGGCCAGCACCGCCGGAGGGGCGCTGGCTGTCACCATGGCGGCGGGAAGATGGCCGTGCATCTGCGGACCCTTTCCTTCTAAGCTGTACTTCTTGCCGGCCTGCTGCGGGGCAGGAGGAGGACTGGGTGAGGAGGGAGGAGCTGCGTACTTGTGTTGCGGGTTCCTGGGAACGTAATGAAGAAAAGACACCGAGAAAAAGAAAAGTTCATCACAAAGTACCCTGGGCATAACCCAGTGTTGCCACATCATTATAGCCAAATATAAGTAGGATAAAAAACAAAATGCATCATCCGGGGGCTTTGCCCGCAGACCCCCTCCCCTATATACCTCAATACACACACACATGCGCGCGCGGCACTGATAAGAAAAAAAATTCACGTTTTGCGTGAGACTCAGGCTGAGTTTGCCGATTTTCCCGAGACAGATGATTTCGCTTAGCGCCTTAGGAGAGAGCTATGGAAACACACGTAATGTGCAGTAAGAGCCAAAAATCTGGATCATGACTTCTAAATCACGCATAAGGTCAAACTTGGACACTTTCATGGCTGTTGTCGGCAGGAGAAGGTCAATTGTCAGCAGGTCGTGTCATGCCTCAAAAATAGGCAGGCTACTGACATGTCGGCAGGTGTGGCAACACAGGCATAACCAACCTTTTCACTGGGACAGTTCTACTGTACTTGCACCATATCCTTTTTTTTCTTGCCATGCAACCCCTTCTTCTCTTGCTCTCGTGAGCCGCTGATGCTGAGACCAAGGGTCAGTGGAGTGTCTCCAGCTACCCACCAACACAGCTACCCTGTAGAACTCGCCTTCCTATTGTTCTCTATTGTCGCTTTTCATGTTCTCCCGTAATCCCTTTCCCGGCGGGTCAGTGTTATTGACGTAAAAATATCAAACCCTAACAGGCGGTCAGTATTCACGTTAATCCTTACCTTGCTCTGAAGTACACAAAGAGCAGCACCACAAGGATGATCACTATGGTTACGGTGACTAGCGAGGCGATCAGCGCCGTATCTCCACCGCTGCGCGAGGACTCGACGTCCTCGACGTCGCCCACTGCCGGAATGACTGGTCGGGTAGACACCGCAGCGTCACCGCCACCGACGGACACCGCACCGATGACGAGTTGAGTTCCAAACACACTGACGGCAGGATCTGCGTATCACATGTAAATCACAAGCAGAGAAGACAAGCAGCCCATTAGGATGAAGTCTCAAGAAGATATCGAGCGGTCACTTCTGGGATGACCTGATGTGTGATTCTGAATAATCACTATGGTGATTCTGAATAGTCACTATGGTGATTCCAAATAGTCACTATGGTGATTCTGAATAAACACTGGGTGATTCTGAATAATCACTATGGTGATTCCGAATAGTCACTATGGTGATTCCGAATAGTCACTATGGTGATTCTGAATAATCACTGATGGGTGATTCTGAATGATCACTATGGCAAAGAAGCGGGAAGTACGAAATAGTGAGTACAGCGCTCTATGAGTATCTTAGCATAAGTACACCTGTTACACCGTGTTCACGGAAGCCCTGGCTGGTCCATGCTGTAGACTGAAAATGCTACGAATACGTGGTAGCAAAGCATGCACAGTTGGCGGAGCGCTGCACTCACCTTGCGTCGGCGGGGGCAGGCAGTCGCTCAGAATGTTGTCGTAGAGGCCGCTCTTGGTGCACTTGACGGTGGTGACGGCGTTGTCGGGCAAGCGCAGACCCCGACTGGCATCGCACTCAACGCTCACGCTAGTCAGCACTGCTACCTTGGCGGTGGTTGACCAGAGGGGCCGGCTGTAACGCAGCGTGCCAAAGGAGAGCTGCTGGTACGGGAAGCAGCTGATCTCGCCACACGCTGTCATTACACAGAAGTCAGAAAGATGCAGCAGAAAGATCAGTTACATGTAATCCTTTAAAGTATGCAACACGGCGAGTAAGGGGAAATGCCACAAACACTGCAAGTGCTTAAAGACCATAGACAAGGGGTCATCTTGAAATATGTGTGTGTGTGTGTGTGTGTGTGTGTGTGTGTGTGTATGTGTGTGTGTGTGGTGTGTGTGTGTGTGTGTGTGTGTGTGTGTATGTGTGTGTGTGTGTGTGTATGTGTGTATGTGTGTGTGAGGAGGGTAGAACATTTGAGATAGGCATCGGAATTGATGAGACAACCATCACGACGGCTAGAGAAAGCAGTACGTAGGTAGCCAAGTTCTAAAATCTTTACCTTCTCCTCGCTGACAGCATCGTCCCTTCTCGGCATCATAGACTAGGTCTGCGTTCTCTGGAGATACATTGCAGACGTACGACCCCAGCGTGTTCTTACACATACCGCAGTGACGCTCGCACTGGTGTAGTCCGGCTGAACACTCATCTTGATCTGCATATACACACACATACCAACAGAAACACACACACACACACACACACACACACACACACACACACACACACATACACATACCACCAGAAACACACACACACGCAGAAAAAACAGAATCAATGCTGTGCCAATGTATGTCACCAGACTGCCCCAGTTTGCAGCTGATACAGGCGGCATTGGTGCGTGACAACGACTCGATATTCTCCACCGGCCTAGACTTTTGAAATAACATGCTCAGGGTTTTGTTCCTGTTGAGCAAGCAAGGTCTCAGTAGTATTTGGAGTATTGAACCTGGCACTTGTAAACATAATCTTGTTGCATCGGGACTCGACTTACCAACACACGTCGGAGGAGTTGGCGGGTTCCATCTGCTGTTCTCGCAGATGCTGACCCGGCTGCCGTTGACCACGTAGCCGTCGTCGCAGTCAAACGTCTGGTACCGTATGCCGTTCTGCATGTCCAGTGCCGTTCTGCCGCGGTCAGGTGCTGGCAGCACGGTGCACTGCAATTCTGCGAGCCAAACACAATGTGTAGGAAAACAGGAAAAGAAGCGTCACTCCACGGCAGAGAATTCAGTGGTAGACAGTGTGCCCAAAAATGCCTCAAGGAAAGCATCAACCACTTACTGCAGGGATACGTCCATTGAATACCGTACAGGTGGAAAATTTCTTCGGTCAATAATTTCCCCAAAGAAGGGGAGTTCGTCCGGTTGAAAATTTGGTCCAAGAATCATAAGAGCGTATTGAAAAGCCGGACAAATCGACATTAGTCTGGCATTCGATTTAGTCCAAAAGCTCCCTGGACGAAAACGATGAAATTAAATTCCAGACGAATATTTCTGCTTATACAGCCCACTACATTTTGCACACAGGCATATGTTGTTGTGTTGTTTGTGTGAGAGCGGCTTCCCTGGAGAGGGAAACGATACCCATTGTGTTTACTGTGATCAAGATTGCAACAAATGGGACTTTGATGTCTAGCGAGGTGAAGTGGTGAAGTAGCCATGACTTACTCATTTCGCATTGGTCTCCAGTGAACCCGTCAACACACCGACACTTGTTCGGCTCAACACACGCACCTCCATTCAGGCACGGCCGATTGCACGTGGCTGTATGCAGCACACACACATACACACGAAGAAATCCAACAAAGAGATCAGCGGTGGACTTTGAGAATGATTTGCAACCCGTTTGAGAAGAGCCTAACGTGCTCAGTAGCTGATCAGCAAACTTGCAGCACACACTATCACTTTACAGTAAAACCTTTCAAGGCTTCCACTCGGATAGGGCAAACACTTGTCCCAGCATAGCACTGCAAGCAGGGCCAAGGGATGCTATTTCGGAGTATTTCCAGTCAAATGACCCTGGAAAAGAAGATCACCTGGCCACCGAGTGGTCATTTGTAGACAGGTTCCACTGTACGTCACAAGATCACCTACATGTACTCGATACACACCAGAAAAAATGCATCGCCTACCGACACAAACAACAGACTCAAGAAAAGTTAGCAATATTCTCTCACACGATTCGAAGCAAGTTCGTATCATGTGCACAGCCCTTACTAACTTACGTATTGTGCAACGTCCAGTGTCATCCTCGGACCAGCCACGGTCGCACTTGCACAAGCCAAAATACAGGTCGAAACTGACGTCGCTTTGATTACAAACTCCTTTGATGCAATGGCCTTTCAACCCAGTATCCGTGCAAACTGAAAAGAGAGAAAAAAGACGTACAAATCCACATTGTGTCCCACGCTCAGAGATTTAAATTATGAAGTACAAATCTTTCGAGGCAAAAATTCAAGTTACATTATTTTGGAAGTAGTTGGCAACTGTTCTCCCCGCACTGTTTTCCTACTCTCTATGCTATACTACAAAAGAAGGACGCCATAGCAACACATATTCTAGAAAGCCTTGCTTCTAGAAATGAAGTTTGTCATAGCAACACATATTCTAGAAATGAAGTTTGCCATAGCAACACATATTCTAGAAATGAAGTTTGTCATAGCAACACATGGGGAGGATGTACTGACCTTTATCGCAAATAAGGCCATGGCGAAAGTTAGCGAACGTGCAGTCGCATTGTCCTGATGTGACGTTACAGCGAGTCAAGCCCGAGGGTGCGATGCAGTCGTCACTTGTGAGACACTGACCTGCAGGAAAAAAGACCACACGGAGAGACAGGAATCGAATTGAGGTATTTTACAGGGGGTAAGTGGTTGTAAGGTATGTTTCAGGTCTGGACAGCCTTTGACAGGACAACCACTGCAACAACGACAGCGGTCGGAAATTCCACAAAGAGATGTTGATAAGAATCGAATTTATATAACCACGACAACTGTATTGTATCTGCTGCCTACTCAGCATGGCATTAGTCCAGTTGCCAGGATACCTAACATTCTGCATTGTCAGCCAGGTCACCAGGTATCAATTCAATTAGAGCAATGAGCATTACATGAAATCACACAAGGGCAGTTTTCCAGGAGCATGCGGCGGACAAGTGAGCAAGGCACACATAATATAATACAGTGCTGAAAAGTATGCCAGCAAAATCTACACCAGCCACAAGAATCAATGGTTACACTGGAGCTCCTTCCAATGTGAGTGTGTTCGGCCTAATTCGCACCTAATAATCATAGCACACTGTCACATTCTCCCCCTTCACTCCACTCTTCGTGTAACTCAGATTACACAACAGACTGCAAGCAGTCCTTGTGGAATCTTCAACTGTCACAAGCAGTGGAAGATTTATCATCTAGATAATGTAATAATATACTTTATCTGTGTGCTATCCTTATAGTTATGTGTCACAGAGTGCACACCTGACGCATCCTTGCTTGTAGCAATTACTTCTGAACTGCATGCTGCTGGGAAGGCACTTGTGGAACTAGTGACGCAGTAGTACATTTCGTGAAACTTGGAAGTTGTATGGGTGTCAACTTGAGGGTGACTTCTGTCCTTCCCAATGTGAACCGTAATGCCTTCGGGGCTGCCAGTGCCAGCCATGTACACCACAACAAACTCTCTATGCCAATAACATGTTCGCTCAGAGTCTGGGACCGGTGTGGTGAAAGTTGAGCTGTTCTGGTAATGCTACACACACACTGCTCATTTCTCAGCGACACGGTCCCCCACGAACTCACACAAAGACATTTAATACACATGTTCCCTTGCTATGCACAAGGAGTGTTTGAATTCCACGGGCAAACATTACCGTCGATAGTAGGCATATTTTAGGATACAAATTAATAATCTAACCCCTGCTATTTTTCTAGAGTGTCGCCATTTCCAAGTGTGCCCCAGCTATCCATGTTATTTCCCCATCCACTTGGAAACCTAGGGCCTGGTACTAGTGGGCAGAGCACCACATTCTAGACGGACCTATGATGCTGGAACACTCACTCCTGTCACAAGAGTGAGTCCAGAAAGTGTGGTAGAGTGAGCCAGATGCAGATCCAGTGAGAGGCTTCTAGATGCAGATATCTGTCACCCCTCTCCAGGCTGTCCAGCCCTGCACGCACTCTGGCAGTTAGCCATTGACACAGGAGTGTCAAGTGGTCCACTCGATCCTCTCTCTCTGGCAAATTGCTGTGCACAGCATGGCTCCAAGGCCATGAAAGAAGCCGCTTGCAACTGCCAACACGCCACTACAAAAAGGATTGTGCTCCCACAAAACTGTCTTTTCACACCCTTAGCTTAGATTCAAAGAAAACAGAACTTTCCTATGACTGTCTTATTAATATTCAGGAAATCACATCCATATTTGAGCAAAATAAAGGCGGCTGCAGAATTCACCCGTGCTGAATCGTGACAACAATATTATGTTGGAGCGCCATCGAACAAGGGTCAGTTTGCTTATGCCAATATGAAATTGACTGCAAGCAGGATGGTGAATTTCAGCCCCAGGGGTACGCTGTGCAGTCAATGACTGGTGCCTAGTACGGAATTCTCAATTCACCAGGTATGACACTGTGCACGTTTCCCCTGCCCTGTCCTAAATCTGGAGTTTGTCACTTCCTTCACCATCCCGTTTCATCCAGAAATATCTCGGACACGGAGCAGGTCCACTTTCATCATGACGCAGTATCAAAGTGCCCACGCTTAAGTCCACGTCCCATTAACTCTTTCCAAGACAGCCGATTCCCCTACTAAAATATCGGACTTCTCGACCCAGCTGGACTTCAGCCCAAATGTCACACATTCGCATTGCACAGGTTTCTCCGACAGATGCTACTCTCGCAAAGCAAAGTTCCACCCAGGGAAACAAACGACTATCACTCATAATTCATTGCTTTCACCTTTCGACGCAGCAGTGCTACACAATCATGTACACGTGTTTCTATTCGAGGAGTGATTCACCGCACGCCTGAAGAGAATCTATACAGGGATAGATTAACCTCAGCAAGTGTTTCAAGTCTGACTTGTCCGCCCCGTGGATGCCACTTCACGTGCTCAAAGATCATATCCCCAGATTAGTTCAAGTAAGATTATGATAGCACAATAGGTGTATCGTATCTTTGTTCAGCAAGTATACCTCCTTTGGCATTTTCGTTTCTCCCGCCGACGTCTTGTGCATATTTAGGCAATTGTGAACACTACATGGGGTACGTGTGTGATTTCATATACCCCATCACAAGCCCGAGCCTTTGTCACCAGACACATGGTTGTATGCAGATCATCTGCAGACATTGGTTATCTTTCCAGTCCCACTGGGGGGGGCAAAGACACAGCGCAGAAGTACTTAGCCTCAGGTACGTGGCAGCAGGAATAATACAGCGGGAGACACTACCAAGTAGATGCTTGGTCTGCCTAAATTAGTTATCACCCACACTGACTGCATTACAATCTAGTTTAGAACTGAAGACTTATGCACTGTAAACAGCAACACACGATCCTCGTTGCTTGCCCGACCAGGGCCACTTCCTGGCTCCCACCAACACATAATATCAATCAAGGCTAGTGATGCAACGGATATCAGGATACGGCCTATTCAACAGTAATCAGAGAAGAAGAGGCACATCCACCCACACTCCAAGATATCCTGCAGCAATTCCTTTCCTATGTGTCCAGAACGCCAGTCAAGACCAGCACCAGAAAAGAAAACTCTGTCAGTTGCTCTCTTGCTGTGGCTGGGCGGGTGGAAGTGTTTCAATGCATGGCCTGAATAATACTTCACTGATCATCTGAGCAGTGTTTTAATCAGTACTGGATTACATTGTGCCTAGCATGCCTACTTGAAAATCACAAGCATGTGTGTAGTGAGCACTTGACTGGAGTTAGTGTGCTAATACATCACCTGACTTCTGCTCATCCTGGGATACCTTTCTCAGAAGTGTGCACAACATACAGTATAACATTTACATGGCTATGGATACAGAGAAAGGGACACTGGCACTCAGCTCGCAAATGTACCCTGTTTCTGAAAATGATTCAAACATGATCTTATGTCACCAGATCAATTCTAGTGGTGGCATCCAACCTGAACTGATCGCCAGGAAGAGTTGATCAATATTTACTTATACGGAAGAGAAAGTGCAGCTACGTTCTCCCCAAACGAAGGTGTTCACAATACTAGTATGCAGTCCATTACCCCAGGAATATCCTGCATTCTAAAATTTTAACAATGTTCATACATACTTTGGAGATCTGGGAACTAATTTATGGGTGCTCTTTATGGGTTTGTCGCACACACATTCTCTACTCTACAGTGTTCTATAGAATCCTGAATGGGACCATCATTATCCAATGAAGCCCAGGTAATTTCAAGACATGAAGCCATTCTAATGTCTAGCTAGAACGAGGACAACTTCATCTACTACAGGATGAACAAGCAGCGAAGTCCCCGACTCTTGCTGCGCTGAACGGGATATAGTGAGTATGCAGTGCACGCCGTTTAGAACAAGCAACTGAAAGATCTGCCACGATACACACACCGGGGGAGAGTGTTACGATGTAGTTGTCGGAGTGTGGGTCATGCAAAGCGTGAACAGCATGAACGAGGCCGACAGTGTTACACGCACAGCTCGGGTGCACTGATACTACTCCGCTCCAGTATAGCAAACATTCATCACCGCACAGGCTGCTACAGCGCGCCGAGGATCCGTGTGGCACCTCCGTTTCCAGCGGACACCTGTTTGCCTTCGGGGCTAGATCGCCCTGTACATGGCGGCAGTATACAGGGTCAACATATATCACCCCGTACACATTAACGGCCTGCATGTCCGCCGAAGCGTGACCACGGGAGGATGCATGCGGTCAACATAGCCACGGGAGGATGCACAAGGACACGTGAGCACAGCTCCCAACACCCCGGACTATTCGTCAGTCACATGCCAGTCATCAGGAAGAAGGTGGTACACATTGTGGAGTTTCCTCTTGCCCATCACAAACACTGATACAAAACACTTGTAACACTGCGAAAACATTGCATGCGTTTCAGCCAGTTACTCGAGCTCCACTGCCGAGACCGAACAAGGTCACAACAGCTAGCCGCCCGGATATTGGGTAACAAGTATACACAATACTGTCGAAGGTATACCTTGTATACAAGTATACAAGTATACATCACTTTCGCAGGTCCGGTCATATCTCAATCCAAAGACACTAACAACCGTATCTCAGCAAAGTTGGTGTCAATTTAGCTGATGGGCGGGCATAAGAAAGATTCCATGTGCAATAGGGAGGAAGGAGGAACACCTTCTAGAAATGTAACCCCACAGAACAAAGTTTAGCAAGGCAAGGGAAGCTACTAGTTATTTATTTCTATTGTGGACGCATGTTGAGCAATACATTGTTCACCAGGTCATATCAGGAATACCTTGAATACCTGTTTTGTTTGCTCAGTGAGCTGGTTGCCTTGTCTACTACAAGTACAGAATAGGACTGGTGCGCAGCAAGAGTTTTCTATGGAGTTCTGCGTGCAGAAACTACTGATACACAGACAACCACCTTGCACACCAGGCATTCAGTCACACCATGTCCCTCCCCCCAGACCATACAATACAGCACTCAACGACACCAATGATCAGAGCAGGTCACACCTGCATGCAGAGAACTACACACAAGTACACACACGTAACAAGGATGAAGGTATTGAGTACTGCTGGGTACAGTAACAGTCACACAAAACCAGCCATGATTGTTCTAAACTATTTTCGATTGTTTGAGGCAGTGGAAACACATAATTATTTCCAGACGTCTCTATTCTTGTGGATCTAAACACCGCAATTGATTACCCGGAGGAGAGTATCTCTGGCAACAACACAGCAACCATACACTCGCCACTACTGGAGCCTGGACAAATGTTGCTCTATACTTCGTAAAATCATGCTTGCCCAGTCTAAGTAGGGCAGTCTTGATAAGGTAGGAAGAGATCAGTGGGAGAACGCTATCACAGATTATCGCTGAGCTGCGAACGGATTTCACCTGGGATACGTCCCAAGAGGAATCTCCGGAGGACAAATCGATTCCTAATGAAATAATTCTCAACGAGCTACACGTCAAGCACGTGTGCGGCATCGCATCGGATCGTTGCCACCAAGGGACTGAAGTACCAAGGTCGCAAGACTTCCAGCCCGGCTAAACGTGTACTGGGATCGATTATGAGGCTGTTGACAGCCAATGTTGTGCAGATCTCAAACAAAATAAAATCTTTCCCTGTACCACCAGGGTGCACCCCTAATCGAAATCTAATTGATTATGCGAACATGTATTGCTTTCAGCCTTTACACGTTTTCCCAGTGGTACACTGTCAAGAGTTCGCCAAGACGACCGTTATCGGAGGTCCTGTGCGCGGAGCTTGGTCATTTGGCTTGTCAAAATCGTCGATTGAAATGTCCAAAATTGCACAATCCCCTCGCTGTGTGTGCTGAGGAGTGTCTAGAGGCGTTAGGAGCTGCACACCACAATTTGGCAGCGCTCACATCCCTAAAGAGGATGCGAGCTCAGTCCCCATTATCTCCCTGGAAGGATCACGTTTCTACACACACAACGAGCAACTACCGTCTGCTACCCTACAGGACAACTCCCAAAGCCAGAAACAAAAGATCAGAAAGCATGTTTTGCAGAACGCGAGTGGTGTTCACCACACGGCACACCATCAGAGGGCTAGTCACATTTACCAATGCTTGTCTGAAGCTGACAAAGCACCAAAATTAATAATAGATATAAAAGTATTGGACTACCCCAAAGAGGAGAAAGAGTTGTACACATTGTAATCTATCAGGGAGGAACGCCACACAGCACTGCTCTAGAGCAGTCAACCATCGCTACAGATGCATCTCCAGCTACGAAAAACATGCGCACAGCAATACCCACAGAGGGCGGACCAACTGATGAGCTCCTAACCCCTAGCGAATCTGATTTGAGAAATTTCACCACCTCGCCCAAAGAGAGTGATAGGATTAAAATAAATATATTTCTGAAGCCATAAAACCTACCGTTCGCTGACGCGGAGACGCAGTAGAGAACTCCAACAACCAACAAGACGAGGTTGTTCGCCGACAGCAGGTGCTGGTGATTTGACATGGTGGCTCACTGCTAGCTGACGCAAGGAAGCACTGATTCGAAGTTAGTTGGCTGTTTCAGCCAGCAATTTCGGTGATGGCGATCTCGCTAACGGGACGTCGTTTGCAACAGGCTCATTCAAATAGCGCAAGACTACACAGCAAGTCACACAGGGTTCGTACGGAGGAACACGGGGATTATGGGACGTATTGTTTTCCAGGATTGAGATCTTCTGCAACCTGAAAACTCAACGAGGTGCAGACTCTCCCACACACACACACAGGCCCCAGCTGAGAAAAAATTCTCCTTCAACATGTGCACTGGAATATTTATACCCTCGCACGAGAAACGCGTGACCTGGTGACTGCATGTAGGCTATATAGCGCTAGCTGGGCTCAAATCAATTTTTTGTTTGCTGAGCGCGCAACGAGTGACAGCGACTGTATGCATGCAGGGGGTCTAGTCGGGCGATCAATGGACAGCTAGCTAGCTCAAAGTACTAGTAGCTGGCTCAGCCCACTGGCACTGGGCAGAGTGATCCCCGTGCTACTTCTCATCATCATCATCTGCACTGTCAGTCAGTCAGTTCTGTACTGGCTGGTTCTGGTTCTGTACAAGTCATGGCTGTAGCCTGTATCTACATAGTACATAGTGTAGGCAGTGTAGTCTTTGCTGGCTTTGGCTTTGCAGATCATGGATCATGCATGTAGACGTACAAAACAGCCTCAGTACTATGGCAGTATGGGTAGATCTACACGACTTGTACTTGTAGATCTGCATACAAAGTCACTTGTACATGCATGACTGACTAGGCTGTGCACAATCATGGACATGGGATCTTGTTTCAGCGACTATCGTTGACTGCAGAGTGCAGTGCAGATACCCCACGCAACACAGATAAGACTCTGTCAGTCACAGATCTTCTTCTGTGCGGGTGTGCAGAGTCGCTGTCACACTCACACTCACACAGTCACAGTCTAGGCACACTCACAGTACAGGTGCCAAGCAGCCATCAGTGACAGTCAGCGCTAGTGGGACTGGTACTTTGGTATTGCCCTATTGGGGCTGGCCGTGCACTAGTGGTAGATCTACTGACTGAGGCAAAGCGCACACTCCCGCGCGCAGCTCTTGCCTGTCCTGACCTGAGCTCGATGCCTTGCACGGACAGAGGTGTAATCTTTGACTTCGACTTAGAAATCTGACAGGCATGGGCAGGAAGATACGGGGCACGTGTGAGCGAGACATACCGTGTATGGCTATATCTATCTCTGATCCTCTGCAACGGTCGGCCGGTTCTACAAGTAAGGTATTTCCTAGAGCTGTTGTAAAATGTTGCCGTCGGGCTGGAGTTGCAACAGCTTCACACCTTCATTATACTTTACAAGTACAAAAGAGTGAAATTCTTTGAAGGATGTAAAAAAGATTGGAATATTGAGCAAAGCAAAATTAATTTCTTGAACATCGAAAATATTGAAGCCAATGGCAATGGCAATGAACGGAAGTGACGTGTTTGCAATGCGAGGGTCACGGACGACTCAGGACACTCCACGCTGCACCTTCCCTTCCACCGATACACTGTATTGTACTTGCACGCGAAATCATGCATTAGCACGGAGTCTGTGCTAGCAACAAACTACGCCAGGTACGAAAATCAACACAATCATTCAGCTCTCAAGTCAAGTGTTGAAGTGGACCAGTCGCTAGGATAATCACAGTCATCGTGACATTTCCATGGCGGTGGCCAGATACTGCTCATTCAACCAATATCAACAATACTGTCAATAGCGTACCTTTCCGTACTGCATGCAGCCACCATAATCTCTGGCTTCAGTTCAGAATCAGAAGGCTTTTCTTGTATCGATTCACCTGAATGATGGGCACAGAGTCATCAATCAAAGCACGATTTGACCAGTACTGCAGTGCCTCCTGCATCCTGGATCAAAATGATACAGGCGTCACATGAATCCGGAAATCTGACGTAACAAACCCGCACACTTCAATGACTGATTACTAGTATGTAGTCCAACGTACATAATGAAGTACATGTACATGTACATGATTGCACATAATCTCACACAACAGGACGGACATCGATTCTAGATGGTTTCCTTCACGATCTGCTGAAATTAGGAATGGGGAGAATAGATGTTGTGTCCACCCACCATGGGCCAGGGCAGATGCCATCGCAACCTCCTGACTTGTAGTTACGCTGACACTAGTGACAGCAGACGACGACACTGTCTTTGCTTTCCCCAAACGTCATTGTGCCTTCAGGCTTCAACCCATCTGCTGATAATCATGCATCATAAGTTTATCGTACATTCATGTTTGAAAGTATACATGTACATGTATATTGTAGCTGTATTATCATACCAGGAAATTAGCCTTGGACATACAACGTACATGTACATTGTTAATCAAATATATGTACCATGCATGCACTTCTATCTTTTGGATAGGATAGATACATGTAAAGATTTAAGTGCATTTCCAGGATTCAGTCTATTTTTTATTTTTTTTTATTTCTGCACCTCGTGGCATGTCAAGACAGCCAATTGAATTGAGGAGAGGGTGAGACCACCCACGGAAGGAGAGAAAAAAGAAAATGAAGAGCACGTACACGAAGTGGGAAGGGATTAGCAACTTACAAAGCAATGGGATGCCCAGCGAGCCACATGTACATGTATGCAGCGCAAGTGGTGACTGTGATTTTGTTTACTGGGAATTTGTTAATTCCCGATCATTTGTTACCGGATATACATGTACAATGTACTAGTAGTGCATACAAGACTATTATTATTGTAGTAATTTCCTTCTCTCCTACCTAAAGCATAGCACTACACCACAAGACCATGCGCAGGTATTCTCCTGGCATTAACATAATATGACATGGCCAACAGCATCTTTATAATTGCCTGACGAATGCATAGCATGAAACTCAGGGTTGCAACCACCCATCCGTGTGCCTTGTTGTTCTGCGTTCTTCTCTTGGATGTACATGTACAATGTGCGTTATACTCGGGCCTCGCTGTATAGAAAATTCGTGTTCTGGGAAGGAAAGCTCTAATTCTCTCCCATTTTTGCCTCGATGTAATACTATTGTAGAAAGTGTCCACTGTTACATGGCGTTCTAAACTAGCAACATTCGTGTATATGTACATGACATATTGACTATTGTACATGTACATGTACATGTATCACCGTGAACAGTACTAGTCCGCTGGCTCCTCTGCCAATCCATGTGATTTTCCCTACCGCTCAGGGACGCAGTGCCAGTATACATGTAGTGTACACAAAAGGCACGTGAGTGATACGAATTAGGAGCACGGGGAAGATCTGGCACACCGTGTGGTTTACGATACTCAACCCCAGAGTCCCAGGTTCACAGGGGCACTGCCGGTACGTATGCCTACACCCACAAACAGATGTAGTGAGATAGCAAAGAATCAAAATTTAATGATGAAAATTCAATTGTACTTTGCAGGTAAGAATACTAAGATGTGTAGCCCAGGTTGGTGTGCTAAGCCCACCTACTGCGACCTACTTTTAAAATGTGTGTATGATAGAGCGGTGCAGAATGCTGAAATTCGCTTCATAATGCATTACCACTATCATTGAATTTGTATCAAGAGGACCGCCTATAACATACGGCTACCTATCGGCAGCACTGGATTAGATGACCGTTCAAAAACTGAAGTACAAAGTCATGTACATTGTACTGTCAACAGCCAGTCCAAGCGGCGTAGATACATGTACATGTAGGGCTGTGGTCCATGTGCCGATAGGGTAGCAAGCTAAAAGCGTCACTTCCACTCTGGCATTGTGCGGTACAGACGTGTACTCTATCTCATCTTGGCAAGGAGAGGTACTATTATCTACTTCTGCTTTATCATGCCGAGCCCTGGTTTCATGATCAGAGTGTTCTAAATTTATTATTTTTAATGAAGTAGACCTACGTGTACATGCACGTGTCCATTGTACAACCGTCCCAAAAACCAGCAAACACAACGCAGAGGCACAACTCCACAAGGGATACTGGATACATGTACATGTACATGTACGTGTACTCGAAGTAGGTGAAAAAAATAGCTGCCCAGCACCTTTTCTTGCTTCGTCACGCTGGTTTGCAGAGGTGATGCATGAAGGGGCAAACGGGGTCTTCAATGGATAATTCTTCAAAGGGGAGGAAACTGATGACAGCTGAGTGAAAGCAAAAACCTGCCCGCCGTATTCATCACCAAACAGGCATCGAAAACAAAAAGGAAAGGACCACGAAAATCGCTGCTCAAGCTTGAAAGGTACATGTACAGTGCTATCAACTGAAATCCGACCCCCCTAGCGGTGTGCTAGCCGCGTTAGCGATTCGTACGAGACGCTAGGGGTCGGATTTCAGTTGCCAGCACTGTACATTGCTACTACAACAGTGCTGGCAACTGAAATCCGACCCTGTAGTATGTGAATGGCGTGTGAGGTGGGTTTGGTCAAATGTTCAAACATAATCACTGCATCCACCTATTGTACATGTGCATGTATAATCAAGGTCATTGTACATGTACATTGTACATGTAGTAGTGCCGACAGCCATGGATGACAATGTTTTGAAACGTTATGATGTAGTAGAAACAGTATGCGTGGAGCAGACCCAGCAATTAGAGGAACAACACTAAACAACAGGCTATGTTGCATGCATCCACTAACCAATCTCAACATTCATTATTATTCACACATGTACATGTATTCGCTGCGGAAAGACATTGATTTTCTCCTGGACCAGTATTTTAAAAGTAAAGCCCATCCAAGGGCTGAACAACCACAGTAAAGGCTGAGCACAAACAAGCAAGCAGGGGGGGGGGGGGGGACTCAGCCGTAGGGAACAGCGGATTCTGCTCGAAAAGGTGGCAGATTCTGCTCGAAAAGCAGTAAAATTGGCAGAACCATACAAACCTTATGGCGGGCAATTCCTCGAATTCTGCTCCATTTCTTTATCCACATACCAAACATGCATGAAACTTACCAGAAAAAGTACCGAATTTTGCCAATGTTTCTGCCGGCAGAATCCGCTGGACCCTAGGGGGGAGCTGGTAAAAAGCGCTAGGAGTTAGAGGAAGGTGGACAGAATTGTAGGTTTGTGTTTGTAATCAGCGAAGCTTGTTGAGAAATGTGGTCTGCAAGGGTGTGAGGTTGGGCGTGAATTTAGGCGTGGAAAGCTAGAGGACAAAATGAAAAGCGCTGGGGAGAGATGTGGAGAGAAGTGGAGATTTGTGATTGTGCATGGGTAAGTGAGTATGAAATACTGTATTGACTTGAAGC